GGGTGGAGAGAGATAGAGCCATGCAAAAATGATCAATATGTACATAAATCTGAAAGGCTCATGACTTGGTAAAAGTAGAGTGGAATCCTTCCCGCCAACATTCAGATACATTTCTGTTTCCCATAAAAATACAGTAACAATCGCACAGACTGTGTCAAATGTCATACCCTAAACATGAATGTTCTTGTGCAAATGTTTTGGTCTCTCTACACAAGTTACAAGCAGATGAAGGACAAGGTAATTACAACAGGGAATAATCCAATCAGTCAATATTAATTTTACATAAATAACATTCCTAGCTTTAAGCGCACAGATTTAATTTATGCTGATTGTCACCTGCATCAAATGGACCTTGGCAAAGTAAGCTCAGATCTGTAAAGTTGTCGACTTGGACTTGACCAGGTCCCAATTTCACGGTGCTGCTTACTGCAAGCGAAAAATTGGCGCTTACTGTAGTAGAACATTCTGCGCTTACGCTGAACGTATTTCACGGGTTAGCGAGGAATTGTGGCTTGTGCACGTGTACAGGATTCTGTGCTTTAAGGGTCAGCTCAGAATTTTTCTGCTTGCACGGTTAGCGCAGAATAGAGATTGTAAGTATGGAATTCTGCAGTAAGCTGCGCCATGAAATTGGGCCAGTGCTTGGGGTTATGTGTGTACAAATCATGTGCAGTATTTACAATGATAAACACTTTCAGCAAAGAAAACAACAATTTACATGATAAGTACAAAGGATTTACAATTGGCTATCTAAAGATTGCCTCCTTCTTGCAGAAGTTTTTGCACAAATCTGTATTTTTCGGGCTGTTGCTGGCTGAGTAGGAACATGACTCTGTCCGGCAACTCCCAAAGCGTGAGGTTTGAGACCGAATTGACGAAAAAGACCCGGCCACTTCCTGTTTGGTTTTCCGTTGGCCTGTCGATGTGCATCATCCAGTCCTCCACCAATATGGACTGTTCCATGTACAGCCCGCAGGTGCACTTCTTGAACTTCTGGTCTGACAACTTGCATAGTTCCATGATCTCGTCAACCTTGGACTTCTTGAGGTCCTCGGCCCGACAATAGACGTGGTCATTGTCGATGTAAATAGGCTCTGTGCCGGGCTTAGGTATGGGCATCGGGCCCCTCAAATTAATGAAACTGTCTGCAGTCGACTGCTCCCAGCTCGCCTGTGGGCTGATAGTTCTAGGTGGACGGGGTGGACGTGTAGGTGACTAAATATGAGGGAGAAAAAAATGCCAAACATTAGCATGAAACCACGTCTTTTGATGAAACTGTGCAATTTAAACTGATCTCTACTTCATTTGCAATTTTTATCCCCACACAAATGGGTTCAGACCAAAATTCTTTGGAGGACAGAGCCCACACAACACATTTTTCCTTTCATTTTGAAAAGTAACCAATTTTCAAGTGCCACATTTTGAGATGGATTTTTCTCCCACATTAGATTTGATTTTTTTGATACAAGGTCATTTTGTCATGCTACATGTATGATGTTACTTTTTCGATGGCTTACCCTCAGTTCCGTGGGAGGGCTGTTGGGGGGACTCCTTCGAGAGGATCTTGAGATTGGAGTCAACAATTTGAGCTGAGATGTGTTTCTGCTCGGAACATCGTTGATGTTGAAGAACTTGACGAGATCCCCCAGCGAGCGGAATCTGAGCTTTTCGGTGACTTCGTACAAGCCCGATGTCCAGTTGACCTTGAAGTGATAGATGTGTCTGGGGTTATCGCTGAGGAAAGACGAAAAAGACAAAATAGTTTTCATCCGTGTTTTTACAGCAATTTTGTAGCGTTCCTCCTCTCTCTTCGTCTACACTTATCCCCAAGTACAATTCACATGACAGACCCTTTAAAATACATGTAGACATCGACCCCACTACTCTCTGAAAATGTGATAAGAAGTATCATGCAATACAATTACATGTACATAAAAATAAGATCCAACAAATGTTACTGGCCGCCATAGTTGCAGTCTGACGATGATTTAGCATATATTGAATCACAAATGACCTAAAAATTGTCCAAATGATTCAAACATCGTTTCAGTATGAAGGGGACATGTGACTCTATCAAATGAAGTAAGTTTCAAAATCATATTTGCTTTACTTAGGGAAAGAACCCTAAAAGGAAGCAGGAGTTCATGTTGGACTGCTTGCTATTTTTCAACATTTTCATGTAGGTGTTTTCATGGTTCAGTAGACATGTATACAGTGTTTCATTTCTTCAACTTTGTTTCAGGCGCATACTGATTATCAACCTTTCACCATCATTTTGTAACTGGTTAAACTTCATAACACATGTGCATCGGAAGATACAAGCAGAGACTGAGAAATCAGGAAATGTACATACATGTATTGTAAAAATGTGGGGTTTGAAAAAATGAAGCATCGATAGCAGCTGATTAGTAGGAGGATTGGGGTTCCTGATCTGTTTTGTAACATAAAAACTTTATCAAAGCAAATGCTATAACCACAGAGGTTCAATGTCACCACACAGACGTTTGAGGGAAAGTCCCTTTCGGTCCCCAAATCCCCAAACAAAGGCCATGTAACTGTACCCGTGCCAAAGTGAACGTGAACGTGTCAAACTGTCATGCTGACAAAGGCTTCCTGCCAATTTAACTGTTCACATCACATCAGGAAAAAATTCTGTGAAACCTGCCTTTCACTTTCAGCAACCATGTTTTGTTGCACTTCCTTGTTTGTGGTTTGGTTTCTAGATAATCAAGGGCTAAAGTCTGCACGTATACCTGTCAATTGATATTCCAACAAAACATTCTTGGTACCCTGCAAAAGCATGGGTGGTGTCACAGATCTTTCAGAAAGTCGGGGTACGTAGTCAGAGTATTTACGACAGGATCACAACCACTAGAGCTATATATAAAAACCAGAGCGCTAACTCATGTAGGAAGCGTTGCCTGCTGGGCGCATCCGTGTTTGTGCACAAACCTATGGAAAACTTGAAATTTTGTACAGTTTTTGGACGGCTTTTTGCATGTCTGCATCTGTATTCTAAAACGATACGTCAACAAAGCCAAAACGCAAACAACCTGAACGCACAATCAGTAAATGAGCATTTCATTTTGCACTGCACCAAAAAACACAAACGCATGCGCTGCACATGAATTTTGCAGTGACGTTTTTTAATTGGATTTTATTGATACCCGATGTGCATGATGGCTGCTGCTCTAGAGCCGTCAACTCACTTAACACTGACTGAATTTAGGGAAGGACTTTTCAATGTAACTGAACTTATTCATTAAAGACAGCTATTGAAAGACATGCATATGAAATGCTATGTTATGGATGTAAATAAACAGGTGCCATTGCTCTGTACGTGTGTGCCATATTCAAAAGACCCGCTGACATTTGTGTATGTTGTACTCGAGCGTTGCATTTAGAATACATAATTTGATATCTGTTCTCTCTGATTTGGAATGTTCTACAAGCACACACATGGATTCAAAATATCTGCACCCAGGACGACGTCAAATTTTCTCCAAGTGGAGAATGAGAACTTAGTGCTCTAGTTTTTGATATACATTTAGCTCTATAATCACAACAAACTCAGTGCTTTCACATCAAATGGAATGGATCAGCTGTGGACTTTTGACATTTTTGTTGCTGATTCCTGTTTTCACCCATCTTGGACATTACATACTCAGCCCTCTAAACCTTAACCTGTGCTTTGGAGCTAATTCAACATTGTGCCATGACACCTGAAGTGCGAAAACTGCTGAATCTATTAAACAGAGTCACACAGCTCAGAACGAGAGATGCCTATTGTTCCTGCTGTGATGATTAAACCTGTCAACTGCTGGTTCTTGTTGGAATCAGCACGATAAATATATCGATACTTACACCACAGATATTGTGATAACTCCTGGTTCGGTGTTGCTGTCTCGGAGAATAAATGTTCCTCTGGCGTCCATGTATGGTCTCAACAGTTCCTCCACCTGCAGCAAGGGAACAAATATATGGGATAAAGAGTGCAAAATGAAAACTACAGCTTGGTGGTGATGTACGACAGCAAGTACATGTATACACGACAAGATTCTTGCAACCTGAGGATCATAACAATTAACATCTACTTGATTTTCACGTAATCCCCACGATGTACACGTACATGTACATGAGTCATCAAAACGCAATTCAAACCTAATGATTTTCCAAGTTTTTCCCAAAGGTGTGAGCATTCCGACACATGTGTGGATAACTGTGGGAATGCATGCAAATGGATGAGCCTTGCCACATGAGAAGGGATGGCACAGTGTTGTAATTTCCATGCCTATAAAGTTCCTGTTCCCATTTCTCTTCAATGAGGTCACCTCACCCCTGTCTAGACCTTTGGACACCAGGGTACAGGACAGCCCAAGGGTGGGGACATTGGGTGTGCTAAAAATACTTTGGTTGCATCTTTTACTGCATTCATGGTCTCTACCATATCTTGTACAACAATTTTCCAGTCAATGGTTAATGGTATAGTTCCACAAACCGTACCTTTACATGCTTATTGTTTTTATAAAACACATGAAGTGACCAGTCCAACTTAAATTGATACCGTGCAAGTGCCATCTGATGCCAGGTCTTTATTCTGAAAATTTCTTCCCAAGTCACGCCAACAGCCCGGGCAAAAAAGTCCATCTTTCCAAAATGTTGAACATGTGCAAACAAAGTTTCATGATTGGATCTACATCTGCAATCACTAGGCTTTACTGGCTGGAGCCCAAACTGCCAGGAAAGAAACTTGCATACATGTACATGTACGTACCAATTCAACTGGAACCTCAAAATAGGCTAATTGATTATTCAAGATTCCATCTTGGCTCAGTGGACATTCTGGTGAATGCTACTGGCCCCTATGAACTCACTTTGAAACAGTTTGAAGGCTTGGTTTTGTGCAAAAAACTCTTTGTGAAAATGGAGCTGAAGTACACCAAAGACCTGACCCTAACAATTCACTGCTAGCAGGTTATGTACAAGTCCACATACATAACCTACGTGTATACTTGTATATTGGTATTTATACTCATGTGCAGACAGGTAAGTGCGTGCAATGAAACCACTCATGCAAAGAGAAAAACAGATTCACAGTGAACATCAACCAAAAACTCTCATGTACAACATGTGTATGAGTAAACTCAGAACAAGGAAATAAATGTAATTGTACCCATGAAAACAATCACACAACCTTGAACATATGTGTGCAACTTGAACGCCACCAATTTCACATTAAGAGTTGAAATCAAATCAATCAAGTTATTTTTCAAAGCTGAATCTCGTCTAAAATCTCAAAGTCTGAAATTGTCTCTTCCAGAGGAAAGTCACAAGACATCATTCAACATCAGTTGTAGTCTCTTATCACATACATGTCCGCTTCAGTCAACTTTCGGTAGTCAACTCAAAATCCTATGGGTAATTCCAGAAATGAGGGGTCCAAAAGTGTGACATTTTTCTGTCCCTGTTACATCTGACCAGACCTTTGTTATTTGACATGAAAATATCACCGGAATTCATTTCAAACTATTACTATTTGTTTAGCAGGTAATTTGCATTAATTCATCACTCTTGGAAACTAGAAAATTTGTTCTGAGCTTACAAAATCACATGTCGGATGTGACAGAGACACACAAAAAAAGGACTCCTGATTTCTGGAACTTCCCATATCAAATTTCAAACGTAACCACCATATACATGAATGTACCTGTAATTTAGAAGACAATCTAAATGTCCTACCTGTGAATTTTCGATTTTGCCGTAATAGTAGTCCAGGGAGAGTGCTTCCACGCATTCTCCACCAAATGGCCTAGATGCCATGGGACTGAAGTCTCGTCTCTGGGGTATGGGTGGCATATTGGTTTCTCTGTCACTCGTTCCGTTCAGTCGCAGATCTGTCGGTCTAGACATTGTCCAACTCTGAACTTCTGTCCATCACTTTATACGACGGACCAAATGGTGGGGAATTCCAGTGAACTCTATTTTTAGCACATCAGTAACTGTTTCCTGGCATGTACAGGAGTTAGCCCGAACAGGACAATGTGATGCTGCGTTACGTGAGATGAACAAACAACCTGGCCCTTTTTCAGGAGATCGATAAACCGGGCGATACCTCGACAGTTTCCTCCCTCAGGATATACGTCAAGCCTGAAGGGCAGAAAAAAATTTGTTATTTCAGCCAGTCTTAGAATACCGGTGCCTTTACTTACCATTCAGGTCAATGAAGGACATTTCCTTGTAGCTACAAAACTGTTGAAAATAACACTTCGAAGAATAGACATGTCATGAGTCATGCAAAAAAAACAAACAAGGTCAAAAAGTAACAGTACACATGGGGACATGTGACCTCATGGTGTAGGGTTTGTGGTGCCGTTCTCCATAAGTGGAGTGAATGGATGCCTTCGAGGGATGATTATGATCATTGTGAGTAGCCGTTGGCACTGGACATTGCAGCATCGTGCTTGTACACCCCACAGGGAGCTGAGATGGTCTCGGGAATGCTCAGGTGTAATTGTGAGCCCAGTGAGATGGGATAATGATCAACATTTTATTACTTTTGAATGACAGATACTGTTAGATAATGTGTGCCTTATAAATACTGAATTAGCAAACAAAGTTGGAATTTTGCAGACCAGTCTCACAGGGTTTGTGCACAGGGCATCAAGTGATATCTGGATATGGAAATGTCTGGATATGTCAAGTCGTTATCATCATTTTGGCACTTTGTTGAATTCTGTGCTGTACAGTAAAGAATGTAAAACTGACTGGATCTAAATTACAGAGCTAAAGGTACATTATGTTACTATCGGTAGAGCTGTGAGTGCTAACTTTTCATTTCCCGAAGTGGACAAACATTGATGACATCCTAAGCGTGAGATTTTTGAATTAGCATGCATGTTGCGATAAGATGAACTTCTTAATAATGCACATGTACTTGAAATACAATGTGCAAGCAATAACATACATTGTATTTCAGCACGTTTTCTATAAGTAGTAACAATGTGAAATATTTCAAATCCTCAGCAAAATTCCTCTGAAGCACACGTGTATACCTTTATGTTGTTTTAACATGTACATTATGCAAAACAAATGATAATTGGAGTGTAGGCAAGTTAGACTCAAGATAAACAAAGGCATTCTTGACTGTGACTAGTGAGCGTGATGTTTGTCTTTATGGTCTTTGACCATGTTGACGACCTCCTCCCCAAAATGATCCCCTAACATGCCTTCACTTGCCGAGGATAAGCCCACAATTTACAAAGATAATATTGGAGTGATACACACCTTAAAAGGTTAAAATCTATTAGGTATCCTGAAAACAGAGAAGAGGTACTGAGGATTGCCAAAAGAACATGAGCATGATGAAGGGAATTGTTATTAAATGCGAGCTCTCATACTCAATAACGGATGAGAGCCGGGGCTATTGTATTGGCATAAACGGGTTCTGTAGAATGTAGCATGCCTCACGTTAGAAACACATGGAAAGCAAGATTCATACCTGCATCCAAGGTTGCATCTGAAAACGGGTAGATGCACGATAAAATAAGATGCTCTGCGTCCAGCGTTACTGTCCAGGATCTGCCGTAATTCCCAACACTCTTTACAACTTTGGAAATATGACGACGGACGACGGCGGTCGACTACTTCCTGGTTTTGAAGGGCGCCGTTCCATGTACGATTTTTGGTCCGTTCCGTATACGCATCCGATTACGGAATGTCACTACACGTGCGGACACCGGGCGCACGCACTGGATGGAAACGCATTTTATCAAAAAAGAGGCCGGTCGGATTGCATATCGGAACTACGCGTACGGCTCAAGCTGCTGCAAGCACTCGCACAGACGCAGGCGGCGTGTCAAGCGCCCTCTGTTGCCCTACGGGAAAATTTCCGTTAGTTTTCTTGCTCCCACCCCTCCGGGACTAAACAGAACAAAGGCATTCAGACTGATTATAACACATCCAACCCCCCAACCCATCTCTTCCTTGCCTTATGGTTTAACACAATGCTCTGCAGAGTCCTATCTGCATAAGGCGGAAGCCCGATAGTGTACCTGTGCCTAAAGATCATTACCAAAGGTTCATGCGTAATCTCAAGCCACATTCAACTGGACACAGCCAAGTAATATTCAATATCAGAAAGCAGGGGCAGAAAGCAAACACTTCCTGCTGAAATTCCACAACGGTTAAAAGTTAAAACAAGAAGTTAGGATGCAAACGGGTGAACTCCGTGAAAACTGCCTTTCCCTCCAAGGAGAAAAAAGGTATTTGGAACTGAGCGTTGTTAATGTTAGACACACTACAAAAGACGGACAAAACAAAGAAACTTACACAGTTTCTTCTGGTTTCAATTTATTCTGCTGAACTAATCTTTTCTTGTTTAAAATTCCTTCTTCACTAGAAATGTACATCATTTTTTCCCTTGTCAGCAAGTGTGGTTTTAAACTGTACAGGCAAATACAGGGGGAAAAAATTCAAAAATAACCTGGCTGATTGTAGTTAAAACCTCTTGGACCATCACACGCCCAACACAAGATGTCCTACCTAATTCACAAGCTATTCAAATGAATGGAACAAAAGTATTCCTTTGTCACCCTTCACTTTGTTAATTGTGTCTAGAATTCGCAATCTTCCGAGGTTCTTCAGTGTGCTCTCCAGCCCATCACCTTTGGAATTTGTGCCGTGTTCTCGACTTTGTAATCTACCACAGTGGGACTTGGTCTCAAAAATGATATTTACCCCTTCTCTAAAAATTGACTCCTGAAACCACTGATAAATTGTCCAACTTTTTGGTATTTTCATCTGGGCCAGTAAATGCAAGACCAAATGCCACTGTCTCTCTGTGCCTGGTATCCACCGAATCGGAATGCTTTTGCACCCCTGCTATCTTTTTTTTGCAATTTTTTAAAAATTCAACTGGTGTTCTGGCAGAACTAACATCAGAGGTAGGGTCTGTCTCTAGGTGGATTTCTGGCAACTTTGTTTCTTCTCCGAATTCCCCTGTGAATAAATACAACAACTCAAGTTGGCAGTTTGTCACAGGTGGGTGTGAACATGTCCTTGTGAGGCAAACTGCCCGATGCAATAGCTCTGATTATGATATGTAGGATTAAAACATTTCCCAATAAAAGAAACTAGGACCGAGTAGGGTAACATCAAGGTTAACGACAGCCTATCAGCTTGACTTTGGACAGTCCAAAATTTATAATGTCCCAATGTTAGGTGACTTACAGTGGATACCATCTGTGCTTGGTTGTGTAGAACATCTTTGCCAACTCGTGCACATTTGGTCCTCGTCTCTCTTTCTCGAAACTCTCATGGCCAAATTTCATCTTTAGGATTGAATCGACTGCCTCCTGAGGTGGAAGTAATTGGAAAATTTGAATCTTTTGCCTTTTCATGTATTCTTGAGAGAGATCTTAAAGAAAAATTCAAAAAAATCAACTCATTTTAAGTACAGTCCAACAAATAGGATCCAAATAACTTTTGCAGTTAGTTTTCCAGAATGGTAGCTAGTTGATTACACATTGGATTGAAACCTGAGAAATCCTGAATTCTCAAACCTCAGCTTCTTTGAAAAAATCCTTAATCTAACTTAAAATGTCCAGAAATCAAGGTTTAAGCGCTGCTTTTTTAAAACTAACATTATTGGTGATTATCAACCAACACAGAAGCAAAATAAGTCACAGTACAGCTATCACAAGGCATTTTATCTGTTGCAACTAGCAAAACGTCGCGTCACGTAAACAACAGAAGTAAACCGGTACAGCTCACAGAACCTAAATTGATCAGCAAACAGCCAAAAAAGGAGGCAGTGTTAATCAATCTAAAAATAAAGCTCACAAAAAAATTGACCGGAGCAGGATTTGAATACTTGCAACTTCCGGAACATTGTACAAGTGCTCTACAGACTGAGCTCTCCAGCCCTACATTGGTGGCTCTTTTATTCAACTAAGGATTCAAGAACTTGATTCTCAGCACACTGGAAAAAAATGACTTTAGTTCTTAACATCCAACTGATCCGCACCTACGGGAAGAATGTTCAGTACTGAGTAACCTTACCTCTGGTTTGGAGGGGTCTGGTCTTGGCATTGGCTGCAAATCAAAGACAGAGTGAGTTTATTTTATGGGTGAAACACACATGACTTGATGATCTGTAAAAATGGTTGAAACTGCAAATGCTACAGACTTTGACATATTTTTCATATTTAGTTTGGTTAGAAAATATAATACCCCCGCCAAGCAGCTTGTTGTATAGAATGAAATCAAAACTATTTAAAAAGCCAACTAATTAAAAAAAATGTTTAGCAGAAGTAGTTACCAGTAAGAATTGTTGACTGGCGTACCTTTGTGTTTTCATATGGAAAGGGCTCTGTGGGATGATAACAGACGATTGTGTTGCCGTCAGCTGTTTCCACCATAGTTTGACTGCTGGAAATTGAGAGAATTGTCTGCAAACCTTGAGCCTGTTTTTCCTCCTTCAAACCATGCACCAAGCAAGAATCTTGTGCCACACTTTGCTGCCAATTTCCAGAGGACATGAAGCCCCAAAATGACATATCTGCACAAGTTGGTGCGCTGCACCTTCCTACATCCTGCAAAATCCCCCAAAACCCTTTGGGTGAACTTGGTAGGACTGGTGAGAGTTCAGGTATAATCTGACTACAAATCCCGAAGTGGTACCAACTATCTGTCCACTTGTTCCATTTGCCTGATGCATTGCTAAATCAATACCACGTGCGCTATCATAGTAATTATTGCATTTGAAGACTTTTAACTAGCACCAGCCCCAAATCATCTGAAATTAAACACCTTGTTTTGATGGATTTGAATAGATTCCAGACCAACCACTACTAGTCATCATAGCATGTGATACAGTTTACAGTTTGCCTCCACAGAGAGTACCAGAAATTTCCTCCAAATTGTTGGATTTTAGCAGATTGGGAAACCTCCATAGCTACTATGCTTAAGCAGTTTGGATCAAATACAACATCCAAGTCCTGAACTGTATAAATTCATTAACCCTAACCCTCCTCAATCCTCCAACAGGTTAAGGATTGAGGAGGGTTAGGGTTAGCTATCAGCTCTGAGACCCACCTCTGCGCCATCACTTCTAGATCATATTTTTCACCTGTTTAAAGCCGAATCAAATTTGTACCATTGATCTCACTGTTCCCTATAAACAGAGGTTTGAAAAGCACCTTGCAGTTTTCACTTCAGGAAGTGGTGACGGTGATCTGTGTCAGCTGTGTGGAGGACAATCTCTTGTCAAATCATAATGGTACATGTATTTTAAATAGCTCTTTTAATTTTGAAGAAATGCCTATCATTAGTGCCAAATCAAGTTTTAAGGCAGACAAAACAGAAAATAGCCTTGACACATATTTTGTAGCTTTCATGGAGAACGCATGACGTCATTTCATCTTACCCATCATTCTGTATTGATCTGGAACTGAAGAACTGTCTGCATCCTGCCCTCTCTGAAATAAAAAAAGGGGGAAAACATCTGCGGCTATTTAAGGATCATCTTGTTTCAATGGGGCAGCTGATTGCATCAAATTGCATTGCATTGAAGCCTAATATTTGTCATAAATTCCTCTGTCAAGTGATGTTGGTACAGCTTGATATTAAAGAACCAAAATTACATTGGTCGTCATTTGCAGGGGCGAGTGTCCTCTAGTACTGCGAGTATAAATTAAATGGAAACGGATTAACATTTTGCAGGTACACTTCAGTGACTTCACCCATGGGCTGTGCATAAAATGTAGTGCTTGTTTGTCATAATGCACTGCGAATTTCAAAAAGGTTTATTGTGCCAATTTACTCTGCCATCACAGATATTTGTGAAACAAAATTTCATACACCCCTTCTTGGTGAGGTTAGATGTCTTTTGAGGAAGTTTATTCACCTTATATCTCATTAAAAATGGTGGAACTTTTAAGTATTTGGCCCATCCATGCCACAGAAAATTGCCAACATGCATTCTCTTGATCATTGTCAGCAACATGACGACTAAACTAATTGTAACCCAGCTCCTATCTTTTCTTTGCTGTTTTATGTCACCCGCAGATGGAAGCCAAGCTATGATTGGCCCAGTTTACTTCTGTTTCAGTGATTAATCACAGCTCAGTTTTCAGATGAAAGGAAAACAACAAAGAAATGATAGGAGCTAGTATAGGCCGATATAATATTCATGTTGTGTGCTAGAGTTATTGCGCCAGAAAAATATAGACGCGCAAATATGAATGGGAGGAGGCAGTGAAGAGTTTAAGTGTCATGCGTGAGTCAAGTGAAAGCGGTTGGATTTTGACAGATTTTAAAGTCTGAAATATCACTAAAACCCCAACAGTTTTCCTTTGGCATTTAAGAAAGCCAGTCATGCCAGTAGGTGGTGAAAAGGTATTTTGGGCATGAAAAGGTATTTTGGGCATGAAAAAGTATTTTGGGTGAGTCTTTGGAATTTTTGAGAACCATTGTCACTTTACTATATGTAAAGTCGTGGAAGTTAGTATGACGATCCCGTCCAAAATCGAAAAAGAGGAATACAAACACTACTCCACTCAGTGGAACAAGGTTAAGGTAACAAGGTTAACACTTAACAGTGGAGCAGTGGTTAACTGGTCCCACCGACGGATGCACTTTATAACATGCGAGTGCGATTTCGCCTCCTTCGATCTATAACATTATTCACAAACTTTTTGTCTTTTCTTCTTACCAAGCGGAAGTATATTAAGGCGTTTTATAATGATAACAAGCGATGCGTACGACTGTCGTGCCTGCAAAAGTTGTCGTCCAATGTGCCCCGCCATCTTGATAATTTTAGTTGGTGTTCAATTTTGCACACCATTGGAATATCTTTTATTTTACAAACTGGTTCCCCATACATATGCTATGCGATGGTCGACTGAGGGCGCTATATAACTTTAACAGGTACTGAACTGCCGGAAACCATATAAAGTGTAACTCAATACGGAAAATGGACACAAATTTCCATTTTAATTAAAGTGTTAGGACAATTAAGCATGATGAATTTAAGTTGCAGTTATTCTAGGAAACAATTCAAGATATTCCAAGATTTTTTTTTACTTTTTTATTTAGAAAATCCCTTAATAAAATGAGGAAAGCGGAACTAGCTACTGCACTTGCCAACCTTAGAGTTTCAGTTACATGTACACTGTGCATCAGTGCAGTCTGCAATAAAGAGTAACTTTGCTGAGGCAGCTTCAGTATTCTTCATTTAAAGCGCTCCGTTATCAGATTAGTATGCTAATTGAAAAGTAAAAGGCAAAATGCGTAGAATTGGAAAAATTCTTTAGTTTGGTTATAATTCTTATTTCTTTTTTCCATGTCTGACAAAAAACATGGCTGGTTACGATTCATCTGAAACTCTTACTATTTCAAACCCATTATTCGTTAGATATTTAATAAAAAAGTAATGAACTGCTGGTATAACAACTGAGACATTTAAAATCAATTGTGAATACCTTCTGTGAATGTATTTTTTTTCATTTCAACTTGAATTTTTTTATATTACTTTTTTTTACCCTTACCCAATGTATATATTTATATACACTGTATACTCAGTGCTGTCCAAGAGCTTGCGAAAAACTTTCCAAGCTTACTCGGGTGGGACTCGAACCCGCGACCTCCTGCTTACTATTATCATAGAGGTAGGAAGTGCAGATGTCTTGAAAATTAAATTTTTCTCACCCGCAATAATCGTGCCTCTCTGGAGCTTCCGTACTAGTCTTTACCTGGTCCCCGTCTCAGCACAACGTTACCGAAGGACCAGTTGCTTTCGTCATCCAGATTAAATATGGCTATGCCACGTGCTTTTTATGCGCGTCATTCACACACGGTAGTGCCAGGCGTCGATCGCATATCGGTGATGCGTGTGTGACGGTGGGTATATTAAATTATAGTGTGGTTACAACGACTACTTTACGCGGCTGTTTTGAGTTGAGGTATGTTCGATATTGTCACCTAAATGATGGGCATCTTAAATCCAATTTAAGCTCATGGTGTGGAGAATTCCTTGGTCGTAAATAGATTTGGAATCTGTTGGTCAAGTTACATTTTGCTAATAAATTATGGCATTGAGAGATCTGGCGTTCACTGTCATGCCTGCGCCTGCTGCATAAGCCTGTGCCACGTCCGTCATGTCCATGCATAGAACATGCAGAATGCGTCCGTCGACATGGTCAAGTCAAGAGGATGGTCGAGTCACGCCATGGGAAAAGTTCCACTCACGGACATTATTAATTTGCCCTGCAGTCGGTGGCAGTGGTTTTCTCTGCCATTTAAAGTGATAAATTGTTCTTACAAATCAGATTTAGGCTTAGCTCATGTAGGCCTAGCTGGGAAATGTTGATAGGCCTAGGGAGATTTTTCACATTTTTTTCTGTTTTGGGGAAGATGTCCACATGCGGCCGCTAGTAATTATTCCCCACAGTGACAGCCTTCAGAAAGCAAAACATGTCCAGAAAAGCTTAATTTAGGAGGGAAAAAACCAAGTCGTTCACTCAGAAAACACTTACTTAGATTTTTTCAAACTAGTCTCATAGTACTTTGTGCATGGGGTGTCAAGTGGCGTCCGTATGTGGAACTCTTTCAGCAAAGAAAATTGATTTGAAGAAGGGATGTACACGTTAAATGCAAAGTAAACTGATCATTTTTAGGGGAAATCATTTTTTTGCCTTCCCAAAAATGAGTGTGGATTTTGACTGAAAAAAGTGTAAAGTGCCACATTTAATGAAATTGAATACTGGCTTCACTTGAAATTGGAAATTGTACAGAGGAACTACTGCCTGTCGAAAAAGACAAATTTTAATCACAATTTAAAAATAAATTGTAATTACACTTTGGAAATGAGATCCCAAATGAGCAGCTTGTTCCCTCATTTATGTATGCATGTCCCTGATAAAAATATTGAAGTAAAGCTATGTAGGCCTGCATGTGAGTTGACAACAGAATTCTTTATTCACTCAAAAAAGTCTGTCGCATTTCTCCACAGTAGGTTTTCTAAGGCCAAGTTGTGAGAGAAGCAACATGTCAGGTATGTTAACTTAGTAATACTGCCATTTATTGTGTAGAAGCTTTCTGTTTGTGTAGCTTTTTTGATTTCAAATGGAGCAATATATTGTATTAAAACAATACATGTTGCTTGTAATGGTAAAACCGCAGATGAAATCAACACAATTCCTTAACATCTCTCTGCATGGTAAAGGCGAAATCTGAAGTAATTTATCAACCAAGGTGGAGATCGCAATTCCCATTTGAAATAGCTTTCAGTTCAAAACCAGAGAATACAATTATGCTTGTGTCTGTTCAAGTCCAGCAAGTGTACAGGCAGTAAATATAGGAATATAGATAGGATATCCGATGATCATGGAATCTGAGATATGACAATAAAGTCCCAGGTAATCAAAGGTACAGAAATGATCAGAGAAGCTGGGTTCGTGTGATGTTGGTGGTATCCTGGAATCTGACATCACTTGACAGAGAATCAGAAACAGTTAAAGAGAATCTAAGAGAACAGAACCTGAAATAACCTGAGTATTTAATTATCACAGAATAACGAATTACATTATCTGAGATGATCAAAGCATCTCAGATATTCATATAAGAGGCCTTGAGTTTATCAGAATTTGATAATGATTTCAAAATCTTGGATCGTCAGAGAGATTAATTTTGTCTGATTCAGTTACAGCACGTGGAGGTAACTGCTACAAGTGCGGCAAGCCAGGGCACTTCGCCCGGGATTGTTCAGTTCAAAGTGGCGGGGGAGGTAAGTGCAGAGTGGAAACAGGTCAGCTAATTCTTGCCTCCAAAGGCAACATGCACGATCAAGATACAGAGTGGTGAGCGAGGTTTCAGCAGGCATTCACAAGCTAGGCGTCCACATTTGCCTTGAAGTGACAAATAGGGCATCCAAGCTGCCAGGGTTTTCATCCAAACAGGGTGTCCCAAATGGCCCGCAGGGCATTCAAGAGATGCCTGGACAGCCCTCTGGTTGTGAAATATTGGAGATAGGTAGGGGAATTATTTTCTGTTGAAAGCGATTGAAAAATTGAAAAATGATGCAAACAGTGTTTTTTGATAAGAGTTGTTTTTCCAGGTTTTACTGTGGTCTACTTCTCAGGTCGCCGAGTAAGTTAATCTATTTACCTATGTAGGTTAGACGTGTTGGTCTCTGGAAAGGGTTGAGACATTACCAATGTCGGCATTGTGTCCCTGCTGGTGTGACTGATGTATCCCCATACCGTTTTGGGCCGTGGTCCAGTGACCTGTCTGTTGCAACTTTCTCTTCAATCCTCGCGTCTTTTCATGTGTTTTGTTCATTTTAAACGTCATTGTAAATGTGCAGGGTAAAAAGATGCAGGGTAACTTTTGATGACCATCTTCCCAGATCAAACCTGCTACAATTGCGGAAAGTCTGGCCACATCTCCAGGCAGTGTCCCAGAGGCGGCAGCACTTTCAGCAACAACAGTGACAAGGAGTGCTACAACTGCAGTCAGATGGGCCACATATCGCGGGACTGCCCCAACACCAGCGGCGGCGGCGGGGGCGGCGGGGGAAACAAAGGCTGCTACTCGTGCGGCAAGAAGGGCCACCTTGCCCGGGACTGTCCCAGCGCGTCAGGTGGCAGCAAGTGCTACAACTGCGGTGAGGTTGGTCACATCCGTAGCGAATGCCCGGAGGCCAAGTCAGGTATGCTCTAATGCCAGCAGGACTTGTTGCAATTCTCTTAACGCGAATCATCAATTTTCATGTAACCTTCCTATGCTGAAGTCACTCTTTGGGTCACTTGGTGAACACCTCAAGGAAGCACAGATGTGCTGTGTTGTGCACTGCACCAACAGTCCTTCACAGGAATATCAGATTGCACTTTTGTGCTGCCCAACAACAGTGCTTCACTGTTTCATGTGCATAATTGTGCAGTAAACCAAATGCAGTGAAGAGGACTGCACAGAAGACCCTGGGTCATTTTGTGCTTGCAATCAACTGTGTACACACTGAACCTGTGCATATTTGTGTTCCATGTAGAAAATACATGCAAAAGAGTGACTGTTGGGCATTTGTGCATATTTGTGCATATTTGTGCTGTAAAACCAAAGGCTTTGTGTTGTGGCCATCTTGCAGGACAGTCCTATTTTTCCACAGGGAAACTTCCTTTGTGTATACTCCGTGGAACAAAAGCACCGGCCTGCAAAATGGCCGCCATGCAAACCGTCTATAGTTATAATCACTGTGTGGGTGCTAGTCTGTATGGGAACAGGCTCGTGATTTAAATGAAAATGTTTATAGGCACTCAGAATCTGACCAATCACCTCCCTGGGATTGGATATCCCCTCTCCAGCCTGTGTTTACTTCGCCCTATTTTTTGTTCAAATCACAAAATAAGCACAGGCAAAATCTCACCCATTGTGGTGAGTTGTGCGTGCATTAGGCAGATTGTCCCTGTGTTTTCACAGCTCATGCATTGACCACATGCTGCCGGGTGCATTTAAATATGCAGTGCACACATACGGGCAATTTTCAAAATTTTCAGTTTTCAAAATTCTTTAAAAATTTATCGTTTCATTTAATGGACATTTACACCCACACGAATGACTGTTTGGTGTCTACTCTAAGCTAACAGGTAACCTTCATTGACTCCTGAATATTTCAGCCAGGCCTGCCGCCCTGTAAAGAGAGCCCAGAATTGTGAGGTGTTGTGTAATTTCCTTTGTCCCTAGTGAATGCGAGTTGCATCTTTTCAAGTGTGGCTGGATTAGCATGCAGCGGTGCTGTATTTGCTCATCAATGGGGCCCTGGAGCACTTTTATCCGCGGAGCTAATCTTTGGGTGTGCTTTGCCCAAAACAGTGGTATACTGTTTAAAAACAGTGACGGGTTACCTTCGAAAAATGCAAGCCGAAAAATGATGGCAATTCCCAGCAGCAGGTCTTTTGTTCCGAGTACGGTCTTTTGTTACACGGACCAACTCTTTTGTCCCGTTTTGGGCACCCCGGCTCTGCGTATATAAACCCATGGTGCTCAAAACGGGGTTCCCCGACAGCAGTTGGTTAAGCCTGGATTTCCTGCTAAACATATTTCCAGTGGACTCGAACTTGAAGCTCTGTTTTAAGAACCAAGAACTAACGTCCCTCAATGAAAAAATTAATATAAACACGGTGTTAATAATATAAAAAAATCAGAGGAGTGCATGCAAAGAACAGGTCGTAACCTTTCAACCAATCAAGACCCACGATCTGTCTTCAAGACTAGACCCCCTAACAAAACAATTCTACCATGAGTGCGCATACCTGTTCATTCTGGATAGTTGAAAGGAGTAGAAATTATTCACTCGGCAGCAGACATGTTCAATGTTCTATTCATAATTTCATGAAAAAAACAGAAAGCCTAATTTTTATTTTCCGGCTGACAGGTGACGACTCGGATGTGCTCTGTTATAAATGCAACAAGCGAGGGCACATAGCTCGCGACTGTACATCTGGAGGTGGCTGGCAGGGTGAGATGGCTGAATTTTTTGGCGACCCCTCCCCCACCAGCGTGCATTCATTAGTTCACTGTGTCCTGCCGAATGATATGCAGTTGGCCAAAGACAATTTCTGGAACTTGATCGTGGCTTTGCGTTCTTCCCATTGTTAAAGTGGAATCTATGGGCATCATCAGGATTTTTTCGGGGGGAGGGGGGGGGAACGACTTTGTTTAGGGGGGGAGCGGTGAGTATCTGCCATTGTTTAACAATGAAGGGCTGGAGGGAGTTGGTTTTCAGCATTTTTCAAGCAACTTAGAGAGTTGCATCCCCTTACATCTCTTTTTTCATTTCTTAAGCTTCCCCCTTTTTTCCTTCTTATTTTTACAATTTTTTGGGGGGGGTGCCCCTCCCCTCCTGCTCCCCTCTGACGCCCATGGTCTGGTTACCAGTCCTGTCATGAGAACCAGTGGAAAGTAGCAGGGCGAACATGTGTTGGGGGGGGAACGTCAATGTGAATGATTTAGTGACCTTTCAGTGGTTGGTGATTCCTGCGAAACCCTGTTGACAACGGCAGGGCATGAAGCAGCAAGCAGTGTCAAGACCAAAAGGATTTTGTCTGTAAGATCAACAAGATCCAAGAAAAGGTCCGAGCTTATGGTATCTCCCTAAATTCATCAGGGTTTTGGCAAAATAACCTTATTTTCCTGTACTTGGCTGACTGCAGAAAGGCATTTTGATCATCGTTTTCCCTCGAACAATAAAATGTGCAATTGGAATGAAAGGCCGCAAAAATAATTTTATCCCTACATGTTATGGAACACTTGTGTTTGTCACAATTCATAATCATTGGCAATGTTCCATTTTTTTTCTGTGGCCTATTTTCAACTCAATGAGGCAAAAAATTGCTTGTTTATGGATGTGGGCATTTTTACTGTTTAGATTGAATGGTCCTAGCATTTGACGGTAATGGACTTGATGGTGATGGGACAGTTTAATATCGCGACTCCCTGAAACTTTTGTTCCCAAATTTGGTACACGCCACTTGTCCAGTGTACCTGGATTAATTTCTAAGCGGCCTTTTGTTTTACAGGATCAGATATGAAGTGTTACGCATGTAATAAACTTGGCCACCTCGCTCGGGATTGTCCTGATGATGACAAGAAGTGCTACCGGTGAGTGTCGGGAGAACCGACAGTACTCACTTTTCAAAATGATTGATTAGCCAGACTGTTCTGCGTCTCACATGGGCCGAATTGTAAAAAGTAGAAAAAAGTTCCTGTCTGACAGTTTTGTGCAAAGCCAAAGTAAGCTGAGAACCACTGTATGCCTGCACATGTATACTTGGAGCCCACGACATGGCTTGATGTTGATTTGGGGACTTGTCTCCCGGTGTACTTAAATGGAGCCATAATTTTATAGTCAACTCTCATTATGTCAAGATGGTTGGGACCAGCCAAATTAACCTCGCTATAGACTAATTCAGTGACCAGAAATAGAAACCTTTACTTGCTGAAGCACTATGCTTGCATGCAAGTGGTATATATGTTACATACCTTACAAAAAACCTTAAAATTTACATGCGCCTCAAGTTTAAAAATGCACACCTGAGCATGGTGCCATGGGACAAATGGCAGCTTCTCGCCTTGATCAGTACCACAGATGCTATGTAAAAAAAAATCTTGATTTGCAGTGCTCGTGTACAGACTGAAGCCACCGGGAGCCATCTTACCGAGCCAAATACAAAGTTGGCCGTTGACTTACGTGCCGTTGTAGCTATTGTTGCCACCAATGCTTTGTATTTCCTTTGTATTTGGATCAGTAAGATGGCCGCAGTGGCTTCAATGACTGCTGTGGGCTGATTAACCACTTTGTGCCGGGTGAAGTTAGCGGCATGCATCACCCGCTGCCGGGCGCTTTTTCATTGTTTACCGTTTGCAAAATTCTTCAAAAATTCATATCTTCATTTACTGGATGCGTACACCCAAATGAATGACTATCTTGTGGCGACTCTAATCTGACAGGCAACCTCCACTGACGCGTGAGTATTGCAGCCACTCCTGCCACCCAGTAAAGAGCCTCCATTGTGCGGTGTTGTGTAACTTCCTCTTTGTTCCGGGAATTGGCCCAGTGTGTGGCTATGCTGGATGGCGGTGTTGCTTTGCGGAGCGATTGGCGGTCTAGCAGCGCGTGGGTCATGAGGGTGAACCAGGCCATTCATCGGGCACATCGGCATAATGAATGCTGCACAGCAGTACTGTTTGTACTAATGCGGCTAGATTCCACGAGCGCACAGCTGTATTGTATAGCTCATCGCTGGAGTGCTGGAGTGCTTTTGTCCCTGCAGATAATCTGCTTGCACTAGCAGCGGCAAACAACGGTACGGTTCCAAAACAATAACAGATTACCTCCGCTAATGCCAGCTTTCTGTGCTGACAGCATATGAACCTTGATTTGCAAGTCCCAGCAGCTCTGGCTTTGTTAAAGGAAGTTCCGATTTTGGGCACTCCAGCCATGAAACATGGCACCGTGTGTCCAGTACCGGGCACCCTGGTGGCAAGTGGTTGAGGATATCGCAAGCAGAAACTTTTTGTTGCAAAGGTACTGTGAAAATAAAGACAAAGAAATGAAATTCAAGAGATTGGAACCCTTGGAATTTACTTGAACGTACCTTGAAATGACAGCTCTTTTTGTTGAGAGTTGACTGTATCTAGAATTGTAAAGACTTGAGTCGACTCAAGTCACAAGTTTTGGCAACTCGACTAGACTGAAGTCCTGAAAGGTAAATGGGTTGACTCAACTCGAGGTACTTTGTTATAGTGACTTGACTCAACTTGAGTCACAGAAGTTAGTGACTCGTTACAACTCAGTATTGACCTGCATCTTTTGAAGTGCCTGCCTTATTTATTTATTACAGATGTGGCAAAAGGGGCCATTTTGCCCGTGACTGTGATAACGAATAGACACACTGACATGTCTACATGATGCCCGTCTCTTAGTTGAGGTCTCGCAGTCCACATCAGCCAATGCAGTGAACACCACCTACGTGCTGTGCAGTAAATGACAAGGTTACAATTCAAAATAATGGTTGTGCGTGGAAGCAAAACCGTATGCTGCTTTTTGGGGCCCATTTGTTCCGTAGAATTTAGTAAAAATAAAATTGCGTTGTAGTTATTAAACCATTGAAAAGGAGGCAATGTGGCAAATATCTAATTGCCTCCTGTATTTACATTTTGATGAACATGTGAACGCGGGATCCAATGGAAAATTTCTCTTTGGAAAAGTTGCAATTTCTTGTAAGGTGACAAATTTTCATGAGAAAATTCATATTTTAATTGACGACAGTGGTGCAGATGAAGGATGGTCACTTTCTGTGGTTTTTTGCAGGCCATAAAATTCCTTATGTAATCTTCTTTTGTCTCGCAAAAAAAACTTTACCAGGTTTGTTTCAGAAAGTTTGCAAAATTAAAGCAGTGTGTGCTTTTCTGACTTAAAAATCCGATGTGCTGGGATATGTACTTTAAATTGAAGTTATCATGTTGCTTTGTGGTTGTCCTGGAAAGTTTTTTTTAAAAAGCTGTCAGTTTTAGTAAAGTCTGCAATGGCAGATGTGTGTTTTCAGAATCTCCTTGATAATTTTTGGGTAATTTTTGCTGGAACAAGTCGGTTTTAAGTGTAAGTTTGTGGTTTACCTTTGAACTTTGTCCGCAAAAACATTCTCTGCCATTCTTGTCTTATTACATTGCGATCCTAAACCACCTCTGTTCTGTTGGGAAAATGTGAATATTGATATTTCAAACATTAAAGTAGTTTTTGTCTTTTGAAGGTTGATCTTAACATGACTCTCCTTCATAAATTTTCATATTGTTTAGTTGAATTTCTTATCTCAATAGAAGTAGTGTTTTTTTTTTTACTTTAAAAGTGTCTCAGTTAAAGTTATTTACAAAACTGCAGCCATTGAAACATGGGAAAAAATCACTTTGAAATGTTGGGCCAATTTCAGGCCCAATCAAGGTACATTTAAGGCTTCTCTGGCCTTCATTTCAGGTTCTGGACAAGTATTTGGCTGGCATCCCTGCCAGACAAAAATTGACTATATATTGCAATCAAGTCCATCACACCCCTGCAAGCCCAGCGCAGGTTATTCAGTCACAAGACTGAATGGAAGGACTTGTGACTGGATTGGTGATGGACACGACCATAACACTGTTTATAAAGTGGGCAGCCCTTTAGCCATGTCTTCTCGAAAATTCATTCCATTATTTTGCAATTCTGTCTTGCTGTTAGCAATGCTTTGGCGTAATTTTAATGGAGGTATGTGTAATGTTGCTTCATATGTGCTGCTTCATATTAACCACCTGAAAGGTTTTGCCTTGTGATACAATGGATGAGGGTGTGTATATAGTATACATCTAAGTCTGATTTTGTTCTGGTGTGTCCATACATGTGTATATGCACGGAAATTGAAATTTTGGTATCTTTTACGTGTATAAGAATGAAAGGATTTACATAAATTTGTTTTTGTAATGTATGACATTTAAAGAAAAGCCAGTTCTGTTTCTGCTGTGAGAAGGAAGAAGGTTGCCAATTCAGTACATGTACAATTAAATGAAACTCCAAAGTTACTTGTGAAAGAGCTGGGCTCAGTGTTAACTATTGTTGGGTGTTGGAAGTGTATAGGCCTATTCATCCAAACATTTAATGAGAAAAATCGCTCTGTTTGGGTTCCGAGCATATCAGCTGCTGCCTGAACAACATTTGGCCAAGGAGACCAGTGGAATGCCTGGAAGAGTACAAGTGAAATTGTTGGTATTGTGTTGGTGTCATTAGACTGGAGTGCAAGGGGGTGATTTGCTTATTTTTTTAAGTTTCCTCACTGACATGTCGTTTAAAAGCCTCCGTATTACTTGAAACGCCATCGATACTCCTTAGAGTGCCGTGTGCAAAACACGTGCAGAATTACTGTTGTTCGTCGGTGTCAAAACAAGAGGTATGTTGCACTTTTTAACCACATTTTACTGATAAATTTTTCTTATATGTCCGAAAAAGTACATTTGTTCTTTACACTTGATTTACTGGGCAAGTATGTCGACGATATTTTCTGGTTTGAGCGTGTGAGGAAAGCGAATTTATGAGGTAATTACACTACGATGAGAAGGCGCGTTTTTTCAAGTGGAGCAAATTTAGCGCCGTGTTGGAGGTCACGAAGGCTTGCAGGGTCGGCCATGGATACGTGATGCTGTGAAGAGATTCACAGGATGCAAGGCCTAGCCTAGGCCTACATGAACTGGGATCATACCTTGGCATGTATAGCATCACCCCCAACTGAATAACGTTATTCTCATGGTTTGATCGGACACCTGGCAATGGCATGCGTGTGCTGTATTACTTCTTGGATAGCACCAAGACTAACATGACTGAGACTAGAGCATGGAGAAAGAGGGAGTCATGCTATAATTTAGCGTCAACAAGTGTGTCAACGAGCGTCAACAAAGTGTCAACAAAATATTCAAGCATTTTTACGCAAATATTTTATATTTACAATAGGCCTAGTAAGGCTGCTACATATCATATTCAATGTATCGTATTGAAAAATAATATTTAGTGTGGAAATTTGAGCGACAAATTTGGGCCTGCTTGTACCCCGTGCAGCTCAACCGGCTGCCATCTTTGTGTTCGCGTGGACGCTAGCGTAAAGAAAGATGGCGGCCTCCACACATGGTGAAAAAGTTTTGTTTTTCTGCGTGAATCTGGAAGCGAATTTGATGTTTCTCTTTCACAGTGGCAGGTCTTAGAGTCTCTAAATTATGATAAAACCACTTTTAAATCTTTAGAGGGTACTTTCGAGTTGTTGATGCTTTGTTGACGCTAGTTGTATGTGTTGACGCTAAATAGCATGACCGCTCAGAGAGGCCCTATGCATTGTGCTGGGGTTGGGATTGCTCAATTGTCGTCTGCAAGTTTCTGGAGACAAATGCTCAACTTCCCAAGGTTTTGCAGCTTACACCTGACTACATCTAGTAAACAGGGCGCTACATACACTCCTGCGTCGATATACTGGACCCTCTACCGATTGATAGGGCCTAGTGATTTCTTTCGATCATTTATCCACATCCGAGGACATTATCAGACATCTGCTGGATGTTACGAGTAATGGCAGAATACCCTGCCACGTGAAAATACCCCCTAAAAATCCATGGCTATATAGTCAAGTGGAGGTTGTTCAACTTCCAGGTTATCCTTGCTGTGGCAAGGTACGTGTTGTGTACAGTATTGAAGTCATTTTTGAGAACGAAACACTCTTGAATTTAAATGCAACTTTAGGGGAAGACTAAAATTTTTAAGTCCAATGTTGGTCCCGGGGAGCGGCTGCGCAGATACTGGGATACAAGCCTTGTGGATAGAAGCGTGACTCCGTATCCGCAGCTACGAGGTGGGCGAGACGAGTGGCGGGGTATTCTGCAATTGTGCCCGGATTTTATGAGCTGAAATTGCACCGGCATGTTCACTATTTGTGGAAAACGTTCCTTTTCCTTATTTGGAAGAAAAAATGTTTTCAGTTGCCGTTTTCCCCATTCCGGACAAGCGAGCTACGCTACATGTTTAACAATTCGCTGCGAGCGGTATATGACTGGACAAGAATGTAGCCAAGTCAAGGGCAGTGTTGGGCATTAGCTGCCACACAAAACAGCTGTACTTTTCCCACACATACTCGGATCTACAGGTACTCTCGCAGATCTGAACAAAATTCTTAACCGTACAAATGAGCTTGTGTAACATGCAAAATTTGTCGGGAGTGGGCAGACATGCCAACTTAATTGCCCAGTAATGCACATAGCCATTGTTTGGCAAGCGCAAGGTTTATCCACGAAGAACACAGGGCAAGGGTTGTTTTTTCTGTTTTCTCTCAAGGACACAATCTACATTCAGAATTCGCATCTTGGTATGAACAGGAAAAAACCCTTTTCAGCTTGTTATAGTTGAGCTCTGAAGACAAATGACACTGCATGCGATTTGGATGCTTCCATATTTATTTGAACAGATAAAATCAGAGAAAACATGTTTTCCTTAGAGGTGCTCTTTGAAGGCAATTTGGTTTTGTGGATTTGAAATATCAGCATCTCTGGTGACAATTACAGTATTAGCTTTGGGTTAAGTCCCTTCCCCCCCCTTTTTTAGCCCTTGTTGACATGCCAGTCTCTATTCCCTTTGGCATATTTAAGCAAGTGCTGGGATTCCACTTTTTGAGGAATCGAATCAATGCCACCGCCGATTCCATAACCTTGAGATCTGATTCCAGGAACAGTCCAGCGATTCCAAAAGACTGCCCTATAAAATAATCCACCGATTTTTAAATTAATGTGTGGTTTTATGCCAAATCAAGGAACCTAAACCGCGTGGCTTTATTTTCGTTGCCAAAAACTGAAGTCTGTGACGAGACGTGGACCACATGCTTTGCAGAATCGCAGCGGCACTGTGCAGTACTCTGACCCATTTGTCTGCAGCGTGCTGATGGCCCACTGTTGGCTGCATGCCAATTGTGACTCCTTAATATGCTGAGCATTCGGGTGCTGTATTTTGAGCGATGAAAACTACATGTACATCAGAGTTTCTCCCACACACCAATTAAAAACTCATTCCTTGGAGTGTTTATTACTTCCCCCCAAAAAATCTTCTGCTGGACCAACCAACGTCACGTTTTAATCCTCAAGATCGAAGCAAACTGTGGTGGTAAAAGGGCAAAATTTTTAATAACACAACACAAGTGTTTAGGATACAACGTACAAGTGCATTTTGCACGTAATCTCAGGTATACTCACCATGGCATTCGCACATGTTAAAATTGGAATCTATTCCTCGACGGAATCGGAATTGATTCCAAAAATGCTGGAATTACCCAACACTACTGGGATTACATGTATGTCTAATGTGTTTTTCTGTGTCGTTTTTTTCTGCTGTTGATGCCAGCCACGTTGACCCAGTCAACCAAGATGAGTAACCAGCGTGGAAAAAAGGACGTGAAATGCTACAGTTGCAACAAGATGGGGCATTTCGCCCGGGACTGTCCGTCCAAGGAGGATTCTGGGGGTGGGGGCGGTTATAAGAGTGGGGGTTACCGAAGTTACAACAGCTCTCGCAGTAGTGAGTATCGACACATGATTGAATCTTTTTGTAGGTGAGACAAACCCTAAATGCCCGCTCAATTTTATCAAAAGCATGAATATATTACATGCACAGTTTCCAAAATATGACAAGTTCAGATTTGTTCAGGGGAAAGATCTGACAATTGTAGAAAAGTCGGATCTGTAAACCAAATGTTCAGGATGTGCCGTTTCTCCAGATGAGAAATGAGATGAATTGGTTTCTCAGGGGAGGCTGACTAATGCTGTCTTATTATGCTTTGTGGGTCATGGCTTTAAATTTGTTTTGTGTTTGAATTTTCTGCACAGACCGTTGTTTTCGGTGCAACCGCGTGGGACATTTGGTGGCTGATTGTACCAGTCCAGCCAGTAAGTAACCATCATTATGGGTTGGTTTATTACTATTAAATGAAACTTGTGCGTAGAGTTAAAAAGATAGCTTTTTCTGTCCCGTGACTGGATGGCCTTCTGGCAAAACAAGTTTAGTCGGCAGTCATTCATGTTTGTACATGATGGTTAAAAACAAAGAAAGGGCTTGAAATCGCCTTGTGATAAATGCTTACATGTTCCTTGTTGATGGTCTAGACAAGTGCTACAACTGTGACGAAGAAGGCCACAATGCGAGTGACTGCCCTCATCCTCAGAAGCGTAAGTGACTTAGATTTGACGTGACAGTGTTTGGACAGTGCCAAAGTTAATCTCTTAATGCAGGTGTGCCTTGAGTTATGCTTTTGGCTTGGTTTGTGAACGAAAGATGGAGCTCACCCGTGTTTGAGCGTAATTGTTCTCGCAACTGTTGCATGGACCAGAGAACAAAAGAGGTATTCATAACTTAAGATTTGCATTAAGATGGGTGGGGGGGTCACTGAACTGTCCTAATCTGTGGCTTGCTTATCAGCTCGTTCATCAGTGCTTGACCTGTCTGTTCTCACCACAGCGAGAACGATCGAGTGCTACTCCTGTCACAAGACGGGCCACTACTCTCGCGATTGCCCCGAGAACAGTCAGGACGACAACCGGTGCTTCAACTGCAACCAGGTGGGACACCTGAGGCGCAACTGCCCGGACCTGGTCACAAATGGCGTGGATGACCGCGAGTGCTACAGCTGTCACCAGAAGGGTCATCTCTCCGGCCAGTGCCCCGAAAAGACCTGTCATAAGTGGGTTGGTTCCGTCAACTTAGACGGAGTTCATTCAGATGTTCTTGTCTTTTTTTGGGGGGGAGGGGGGAAAAATCAGATTGAAGGTGTTTGGTGGATCCGATACCTCCTTGTCACACTTATGACGAAGGTCACACAATTCTAGATGATATGATGTTTGCGTACATAAAAAAGTTGTCTGGAAAGTGGAATTATAACTGAGACCAAATGTAAAGCAGTCAAGGACGTATTTAAAACATAGAGAGTGGATTCCTTACGCAACATTCAGTTTAGTGGTACTAAAGTGATATTTTCTTTGAGTGTATCATTGAATGATTGTGTTTTTATTGTTGTGTACTGTGCAGCTGCAATCAGCCTGGGCACCTTGCTCGTGACTGCCCCAACGATTCTGGTGACAAGTGGAGCCGCCGCGCCAACACCGACAAGACCTGTTACAAGTGCGGCAACCTGGGCCACATCGCCCGCGATTGCGACGAGTGAGCCACACCAGGTTCCAAACTTCCTGCGCGCCTCACCGGCATCTTTATCCAGTCACAAGTCAGCCAATCCTGCCTTGGTGACAGCCAGCGGGCGTCCAGCCAGTGCACCGGTAAGAACTGGTTCCAAACCGGTTCCCACTGGTCTGAGGCAGTTCGCGAAGGGCTGGGTGTAGTGTGAGTGTGTGTGTGAGTAGGAGGTGCCTGTGTATCTCTCGTGAGTTTTCAAGTTAACATCAAAAGTAAGTATTTCCAGTAGATTAAGTGTTAATCTGTATGTAAAAAAGATAAACATATCTCAACGTAATTCAGAACTGACATCACGCAGATCCAACGAGTATTCAATTTTCAATGAAAATAAGGATGTAGGAGCAAGAAATGATTAAAAGTTTCATCACTACTTAATCACGAGGAAGAAGAAAAAGAAAAAAAAAGGTAATTCTTGCATCCTACCCTCTACGTTCATCCTTAATGTACGCAGGAAAACAAAACAAAACGATCCAAAATAAAACTCAAGCACCAGATGTCGAGAGCAGGCACGGTGAGTTTTCGGGGAACCTTTCGAGGCAGAGGAAAAGGGAGTTTGTTCGGGGGAGAATTGACCATCTTATGAAGCACTTTCATGGTTCGAAGAACCAGAAGTAAATCGGGAGAAAATTTTTGGGGGACGATTTTTTCGGAAGAGAGTTTCGTCACCGAGTTTCGTCGGTTAGTGACGACGGGGCTGCGTCTTGGGAGTAAGACATTCAGTTGGCGAGTCGGGGTTCAGTGGTGGTGGGTCGTGTTGATGCAGAGTCTGTTTTTGAATATCACGATCTGTTGTTGATTGTTTAGATGCTGCTTTCCAACGTATCTTTGAATTTAGCGCAAGTGTTGAGTGCATAAACATATCGTTGTCTTCTTTCAAGTGTCAAAAGGGAAATGAACACGAACTAATTTTTTTGTAGTCGATTGGTTTTTTCCCCCTCCATGTTCCATCTGTGATTTTTTCTTTCTGTTACATTTCAGCTGAAAAATAGGGGCAAGTTTATCTAGAATTATGTTTGCGAGGAATGGAATTTTCTGCCAGGTTTCAGATGAACTTTGGAGGAAGGCAACATCAAATTTTTCAATTTCTTTCAGTGGTTTATGAGCTTAATTCAAATCAAGATGTAACAAAAATGCACACTCCAAAAAAAAAGTTTCTTTTTTGGAGTTATATCAAGTATTATGTACATGTTCCTTTGTGTCGATTTCATTTGTAGCTTTAATTTGAAGGTGAAAAACCAGTACTCATTTTGTGGTGAACACTGGCCAAGGAAGTAACCCATTAACATGAAGTTTTTGAACCTTCAAAGAATGTTGAAAGTCAAATGTCCTTGGAACCAGAAAGTCTTTTTACACAGTGTATATTGCTGGTAAATTACAATACACAGAAGTTTGGAAGCGGTGTAAATTATGAGGTGTTTTCACTTGAGCTGAGACACAGGCAATAACCATTTCTGCTGTGCTTTTTTGGTGTAGGACAGACTCAAAAGACCATAGTTTCTGACAATTTTTGTAATACAAAGAGTTCAATTTTTTCAGCTCAAGTAAGTGTCTTTATAGTTCACATACAGTCATAAGAAAATTAAAACAGTTTACATTTGGGGGTGGGGAGTGGATGGGCTGAGGTGGGGGAATCGCTGGCTGAGATTGGAGGGGTTAATCCTAACCCTCCTCAATCCTCCCAAATTTTTCCGGGTTTAAGTGGATTTTAGAGGATTTGAGGGTGAATGGCAAAAGTGCATGGTTGAAGGATGCCATGCACGAAGATCTTGGGTTAGATCTTGTGTTGTTTTTGCTTAGTCATGCATAACTTCAGTCCGATATTTCTTTTGAATCAACCGCACTGCTCAAGAATGCCATTCACTCTGCCTCAACATAATGACAGGAATTGTCGGAGGATTTTGAAGGATTGAGGCAGCGGGCACACCTCCAGGTAAAATTTTCAAGAAATTTTGGAGGATTTTGGAGGATTGAGGGAGAATCCAATTTTCTCACCCCAGCAGTTGGAGGATTTTGGAGGATTGAGGAGGGTCCCTAGCAAAAAGGCCCCTAGGGGGTTAGGGTTAATATTGCCAAATTACCCATTTGCCCACCAACTCGGACACTCCCCCCCTCCAAAAAAAAATTACCCCCTCTTACTTGCTGACCTTGGTATGTGTCCAAGTGGTCACTACTTGGGAGTCTCACTGTTCACAATTCATTTCAATCCCACAAAAAGGAAAACTTATTTCCCATCCTTCATTAATGCGTGTGTGCATGTGACTTACATGCAAGGCGTGTGCAGTGTGGGGCATTTCAGATGCATTCTATCCCTAACAGCATCAGTAGGCAATGTTTTGTGGAAGGTGTTATTGTAGTGCGCTGTGCATAGCCCCAATTCTCAGCGACTGATAAGATTTGTTGAACCGTCAGGGTGGTGTTGTTGGCGTGCATTCCTACTGTGTGTGATCCTTATCAGACTAATCAGAGCTTTGAACTTTGGTATTGAGTGTTGCCCTGATCCAGTGAACAGGTATCAAGAGATAGAGGAAAATTGCACCTGTTGACATAAGCTATCTCTTAACTTAGCTTTCATGCCGTGGTGACTTGGGAGTGAGGAGAGAGATAAAAAATCAGAATTAGGTCACAGCACCTGGGAGTCTGCTGTTATAGTTCACGCTGACCTAGTTAACCCATCCTGGGTCACGTTTATTTGATTTGATGATTGAACTCTGGACATTGTCAAGAGTGGGCACTTATACGTCTGAAGCAAAAAGTCATACCTCGGGGCTCAGACAATGTGTGCGATGCCACGCATGCACAAGTAATATTCATCTTTGGATGGGCCACCCTGACAGGTTACTTACAGTGTGATTAAGCTTGGTACAGTCAGTTGACCTGTGTGATTTCTCAATTGCTTCTTGACCTGTCGATCTTTCCACCTTCTGTGGATCCCCTTTTCTTTCCAATTCATAGTTTTGGAGTGTTGCTTTGAAACACGAAAGTAAAGTCCAAGATCTCTGATTGACAAAAAGCACTGCGGGCAACAACTGTACATGTTTTTATAAATTGTTAGTGTGTTGGGATGTCCAGTCTGCATAATCTGCCACTTCAGCAAAGTGTAGCCACATCACAGCGGACATACATGTACTCATTGAGCATATCCACAGCTTAGGAAGCAGTTGCCCTCTGTCATCACGTTAATGTGGCAAGGTGTATTATTCTTGTCATTTGTGACATACAAAAGTACTGAATGGTGTACTGTATTTACTGTATGGTGTAGGGGTTAAAGGTGAAACAGATGTTGATGCCTGATGGCATTGCTTTGAACATGTTGAAAACATGCTGGATTGTCCGGGCTTTAAATGAAATACCGAGCAAGGAAAGACTTGGAATTGATTACATCATGGAGGAATGTGTTTTAGTCCTCCATGATTACATGTAGCAGCTGAATCTGATCACGCTCACAAGCTTTATTACTTGATTAATTGATCAACATATCAAGTATTTGGTTGCATTATTTATTTGATCTCTATCGCAACCTTTTGTAAAAATAAACAACTTTCCTTGGGGGGGGGAAGAACCACTTAAATATCTCAATGCAGCAACAAAATGTGGAACTTAGACAAAGTAAGTCTACTTGAACGGCACAAATTGTAAAGATGTTTCGGTGGGAAAAATGCCTCAAGGCAGACATGCAGTTGCTTCAACTGTTCTACATGTGTGTACACGTAAGGCTTCTGTATGGCCTCCCATGTTGTTTAGATGTGCACCTTCCTATTGAGCTAGTAGGGTCCAGCGGTTCACTGAGCACCGTAACAAAAACAAACAAAAGTGTGGCATCATCAGTGCAGAGGTATGTTCAATGGGCGGCAGAATTGTCATGAGTAATCACGCCTGTAGTTGGAAAAGTGAACAGTGGAGGGATTGTGATCACAAATTGGCACGCCTAAATCCATTGTGATAGTTTAAAGCTAACAGAATTTGCACCATGTCTTTTGTGTATGATTAGATGTTTTGTGAAAGTCACATAAAAGTGCTTGGTTGAATTGTGTAATTGTTGGTTTTAGGTATAGCTGGACTGAAGTGGACTGTAGTTTTACAGTGTGGTATAGCAAATATATCTGTCCTCTCCGTATACATGTATTTATACTGTTGGTACATTTTTTAAAGCTATTTGTTCAAACAGTTCAAGTCCTGAGCCATTTTTAAGGGGGGGATAAAGCAAGTTTATTTCATAAAGTAAAAATTTGTAAGAACATTTGTGACACTTTAGTTTGTAGTGTGAGTTGAAGGATTAACCCTAACCTTCCCCAACCACACAGAATTAAACAGTAGTAAAGTGTTTAATTCTGTGGGGATAGGTCTGGTAGGCCCATAACAGCTGGCGTTTGCATTGGGTTTGGCATACCTCAGACAAACAAAGTCCAACAGCCTCTGTGCACAAAGTCCCATATGGGTGTTTAACTTTGTGTGAATGGGGAAGATGAGGTCCAGCAACCCTTGGGGGGTTAGGGTTAAGTATTAGAAATCAGTCTGATTGTGAGAGTGCCCTGGTAGTCATTGAATGCATGTGGTTTAAGATCACGCAGGCACGAGTAATTTATTCCCATGGAATTGTTCAACTGTAACAATTAAGCAACTTGTGAGGTAGAATGAAAGCAATCTGAAATTTTTCTAGAAACTGAAATTTTGGGCATTTTTTATGTTCTCTGATTTTTATCTGCGTCGAATTGAACTTGAGTCATTGAGCCCAAATGATTTTTGTTGATGTAATTCATTCGAGAGAAGGAAATGTCTAAAGCCAACAGTAATGCCTTTTAGCTGTCTCCTCTAATTTGCATGGCCCCTTAGCAACCAACAAAAGCGTACGCTGTGCTGTACGTGATAAATGTGTTTTTTGTCCGGCACGGCACTGTGGCATACAAAGGAAAGTATTGAACCCACCCCAACAGTTGTTGTCAGTGATCCGCTGACAGATGCTTGCATTGCACGGTGCGGTGGATTAAGTCACACCTGTCAGGAATGTGGGTCAACGTTTCCATATTTCTTTGCATTCCCTGCCGTCAAGATTTGTGTCAGTAATGTAAGTTGTAGTACAATATGACGAGTGCATGTCTTTGCATAATATCCTAAATATTTAAATATTGACCTTCAAACTCGCATTACACTCTGTGCCTTGTGTTATTTATATATGCATTTGGGGATTGTTCCGAAGAACGGTGTGTGGCAAATGTGACTGACTTATTTCAATTGGTGTGGTAAATTATGAGGAATTCATAAACTAAGAATTTAACTTATTCTGGTAAAAAAGACAACTTTTTATGAACTTGAAGTTTGTCTTAAAGTATTTTTATCTCCTCCCGCATATTTTTACCTGTTAGTTCTGGCGACCTCTTATATTAGATAAACCAACGTTGCGCTTTATCATGGAATTGGTAATCATTGTGTAGCTGCTATAAAAGTATAGTTTCGATTTGAAAAAAAAGAATGAGTTTAAGTTTCTTGTGTTGCGATATCTGTTTCAGCTGAATCGGGCAAGAAATAGACTTATCATCCTAAACATTTGTAGCTCGGGTATCACAGTTGTGCAAAGATGTGTATACACGCACTCACACAACACGGTAGGCTGACAGGTGACACAAATTCCAAACACATTTGTTTTGATTTGGAGACAAATTGCTTTATTCTGATATGCCAGTGATGCAAATAAGTTCATGCACAAAGTGGTTCTGTTCAGACATTTAGCCGAATGCACACGCGCTTACTAACCCTAAAAAACAGCACAGTGCAATTGGTGACAACAGCAGCTGAACAAAACTAGCCATGCCAAGACAATGGGTGCTAGTCCCATTGAACAATGCCACTGTTGGATCTTGTGGCGACTGGCAACCATAGACTCCCAGGCTGTTTGGCCTTGGGGAGAGCTGACCTGTTGGATCTTGTCACACTGGGCAGGCAAGCCACTTTGACAAATGATGCAGACTGACGTGTCTGGGAGAGTTTCTTTCCAAAGTACCCTGGAGGGTTAGGGCAAAAGGTTATGCAAAGAACTGATTCAAGATATTTATTTCAGTGGTTGACCCATGTTAGGATTTGAGAATGTATCACTTGTAGCTTGTGCATTGGCTTAAATCAAGCATGGGGTAAGACAACATTCACCGAGTCTAGAATTTAATCAGATAAAATTTAACAGTGAGGTTGAAAAGTCAGTAATGCTGTTGTTACTGCATGAGTTGTATCTGAATCCTCACCACAACAGCTCTTCATAAGGAAAACACATTTAAAAAGAGAGTAAACTTAACCACAAAATTAATTTTTTCCATTAATTAATTACCCTGATTTGAATTTCAATTTTTTTTGCAAAAATGGCAAGTTTCTTATTCTACACTGCAATTCACAAAGTTGCAAAATATGGTGCAAAAATTACATCAGTTGTGAAATCCTTCAAATGAAAATATTCTAACTTCTTCATGCAGTCAACACAGAAAACAACTTTAACCATAAACCAATCTTCAGTATATATACAGAGCACAGTGACAGAGGTTAGAATTAATTTTGTAAAGTGGTCATCAAATCCAGATAAATAAGTTACCATCACTTCCATTGTAGAAAAAAGAGACTTGGACGAACAAAATACCCAAAATGTATGGAAGACATTTAGCATTCTTAAAATAACTAGCTTTTTCACCCAAACGTGCATTTTGAAATGACGTCAGATTTTTTCTATACCTTGTACGTATGGATCTTTAAATATAAACATTTCTTCCTTAAAAGAAAACTTGTCCAATATAGCTCGTACCTGTTGTAAATGTTTAATTGTGTTTCTGTTTTTAAAAAGCTGTTTACCGGCAAATGCTAACCTTAAACAGAAAACTTTGGCCAATATCTGTTTACCTGCTCAAAATGTTCGGTTCGTGAAGTGTAAAATACAAGGCTTGTCATTTGTCACTCAAATGATTTCACGGCATTGTTAGCACCCAAATATTTTGTTGATGAACCAACCAACCTAGCCTATCGATATATTAAAAACTTTCCAAAATTCAAATGTCCGTGCTAAGATCAGGTTTGCATACATTATTGCACTATGAAAACTCACAAGTAGGCCCACATCAAAACGGGAATGTTTCCTTTAGGTCGTGTTCATTTTTCAACACTTTTTGTTTCGGTCATTGTAACAATCAGTTCTTGAGTTCATTGCGGCTCAAAAAGCTGTACTGTAAGAATTATAGTCAGTTATGGGCTTGTTGCACCCAAGGACTGATCAAGAACCAAAGTTTTTGGGGGGCTTAACTTGTTTGTGGGGGGGGGGTTAAAAATTCAGGATTTTTTCATGCAATCTTTCACGGCCTTTCTTAGGAATGAGACTATTTTTGAAGGGAAATGAAACAGACCAAAATCTACCTTCTACTCCATTTCTAATGAAAAAGAAAGCTCGGGGGGGGGGGGGCATGGACCTGCTGGGACCCCTGGATCTGCTCTTGATCACACCAAACCCAAATTATTTGAACATCTGGTCCTTGTGACTCTAAGAGATGATCTTGTTATAATAGGGCCCTCAGGATATGTGGAAAGGAAAGCAAATAATACAAAGACTTCAGACCTAAGGTTCTCATTGCAAGCAGGATGTTATATCGCCAGTGCTCTTATTTTCATATTTGATCTAAACGACCGCAAGCTTGGTAAATATGTACATTGATGTGGAGAAATTGAGCAGGACTATCATTTCTGAAGATTGGGGTCCACAAAGAAATCAGTAAGAACAAGATTCTTTCAGAAACATCTGGCCATTTTGCATTTTTTTAAATTTTGCAACTGGACACTTGACAATTACACTCCTGAAAGGCTGTGTCCAAAATAACTTGGCTTGGGCTAGTTGTCACACACAAGTCTTTGAAAAGTGGCTGTAGCCACTGGCTAGTGGCTTGCCTAGGTACATGCATTATCAATAGCTGCAGCCAAGTCATTGGGACACGGCTGACACTCAATCACATTTTGCAAGTGGGGCGTGTCGAAGGTCACCTGCGGCACTGTAGGATCCCCGCTGCATTCTGGGTACCCATCAGGCTTTGGGCATGAGGTGGAAGGGAGCAAACAGTGAGCGCCAAATGCGTACGATGCCACTCCACAGGACTGCTGCGTGAGACAGGCTTGTGGATGAAGCTGAGAAATATGACGACATAAAAAATAGATGACTCAATATCCCTGACATGCTTTAACCAAGATGCCATATTTGCTCTCTCCATTCAACTGAACTCACAATTGCAATTTGTACAGGGTTCCTGCACCTAAAGGACAGTTGAATTCCACGACTTTTTGATGACCAAATTATAAAAATCCACAACTCAATCTCGCAGTTTCTTGGACTACTCAGATGTTTAAAGTTCCAAATAAATCATGCATTTTAAGCAATTATTTCTAAAAACAGAAATCACACACGGTGTTTTTAATGAGTTTTACAGAATTCCATGACTTTTCCAAGCCTGGAAATTAAAAACAAATTTTGATGACTTTTTCATGACCGTTTCCAGCCCACGGGTACCCTGTTTGTATGTGATTCTTTCTCTCAAAAAAAGATCCATTCAAGTTTTCTCCAACACAAAGTCCAACCAACAGCTCTTCTATAAGAGTGGTGATTCTGAGAACCGGTGAGTGTGAGTATGAGTGTGTACAGATCCACAAACCTCTCACCAGCCTGGCCTACACCATGCAAAAATTCAAATCTTACAAACTAATGTCTGTAAATTTAAGTTGCCGCTTGACAACAAAGGCGAATGACAGATCAAACCCTGTTGTATCCAATGCTTACGGTAATATGCATAAACATTTAATTAAGGAAATAGCTTATTGAATTTAAGTGTAAACAGTGCACTGAATTGACCTTATCAGTGACAGACGAATGTTTCCACAAGAAAATTGTGTTGGTTTAGCATCGCCCTCAAGGAAGTGCCGTTGAAATTGATCACGTCATTTGTGAAAGATTTTCACGTGCAAATACGCACCCAGATTCGTCCTGAGAACAATGAGATAGATGAAGAAACCCAGACAAGCAATATTCCGGATGTATCTGAGTCCAGTCGCTGGCAGAAGTCTGGTGATTAACTGGCTGATTCGCTGGACGACTCGCATGAAAGCCGATGAGGAATATTCTGAACAGATCAAAGGTACTGAGTAAGTCCATCACTTTCCGAAAGGATACAACAGTTGCAAACTGGTTACATTTGACAAGCTGCAGGTAGGACCAGATTATTTTGTAGGCTCTAAGCACCAATATTCTGTAGGCCCTAGGCTTCCATAGGCCCAAGTTACCTGTGTTCTGTAGGGCCGGGTGTTCCATACCTGTAGGCCCGGGTGTTCCATACCTGTAGGCCCAGGTGTTCCATACATGTAGGCCCTAGGCATTAGTGTTCCATAGGCCCAAGTTACCTGTGTTCGTCGGGCCCGTTCATACAATACATATTATGCAGGCCCTAGTCACTAGTGTTCCATAGGCCGTTAGGCACGAGTGTTCTATAGGTCCTAGGCACCAATATTCTGTAGGCCCTAGGCACTAGTGTTCCATATGCCCTAGAGGCACAAGTGTTCTGTAGTATCTGGTATCTGTGTTCTGAAGGCCCTTGGCACTGATGTTTCATGGGCCCTAGACACCAGTGTTCTGAAGGCCCTTGGCACTGATGCGTCATGGGCCCTAGACACCAGTGTTCTGTAGGCCCTAGGCACCAGTGTCCAGTAGGCCCTAAGTACCAGTATTCTGTAGGTCCTAGTCACCAATGTTCTGTAGGACCTGGGCATCAGTGTTCCCTAGGTCCTAGGCACCAGTGTTTTATAGATCCTGGGTAGCAGTGTTCTGTAGGCCCTTGGCACCAGTATCATGTAGGTCCTAGGCCCAGTGTTCTATAGGACCTGGGCATCAGTATTCTGTAGGCCCAAAGCACCAGTGGATTTGCTGACACAAAGTACCCAACAACTTTAAAAGGATGTGTGAGGTGTGGTGCCATGCTTAATTGTTCCACAGTGGTGGGTTAATAGGGAACACTTACCGTTGACTGATCCTTCAACTGTGTCTGTAATCTTCCTCTTCATCTGTAGGTCCTCCTCGACCTTCTCCAAGTACTTCAAGAAACTCATCTTCTTTTCTGGACTCAACCCGGAGCTGAGTTCGACCACAGCTCTTGCCTGGTCTAATTTAGCTTGTGGCAGTAGGATCTGAGCTATCAGAATGTCCATGATGGTGGAGTACTGTGAGTGCGTTTGGTTGGTTGCATTGGCCAGCCATTCACCTGCCAGGTTTTCTGCCATGGTGAAGTTGCGAACTTTGGCAAGCAGTAGAATGCTAGGGAAAGGCCAATCATTAATAGTTACTCTCCTGGGGTCAGGCCAAATATGACTCAACAAAATTAACGCAGAAACCGACCAAGAATAGCAGTTAAAGGGCATAAATTGAAACAACATTTACAGCTTTCTTACCATAACTTAGCGATTGTTGGTGGATACCTTGCCTGCGATTCGTAATAATTTGCCAGGAATGGATGAACCCTATCCCATTGGTCGGTTTCCGCATAAGCCTGAATAGCTAGAATGCAGATGGATTCATTGAACTTCCTGCAATAAAGACAAAGGCCAACCTCAAGCAAAACATCAAAGTGAAAACTGAACAACAGAAAATACAATGCGCCTACGGACGAATTAAAGGGTTCAGAATGGGGGAAAAAGTTACACACTGCACACTATAAACATGAAATTGAAATCACTGAACCAATCTAAATTACTACTACTTTCCATAAATCATGTGGAGTAGACACATTGGTGTTAGAAAAATAAGACTGACATGACTGAACTGGTGAAAAAGAAAACCGGCATGCCCAAATAATGATAAATCACAATATTGGCCTAAGTTCCAGTGTTTTATATTTTGCAATGACCTTCGCCAGATTATTTCAGCACTTTCTCCACTTGCAGTTTCGCCCTCTTTAGGATCGCTGTCACATTCAAGTAAACTTCCGTTAATTCCCTGCAGAGTTTGTGGGAAGACAATCTCCATTGTACTGCGTCCATTTGACGATCCCAAATGACACATGCTCAGTACGTCTTCAAACTTCCTGAAGATCATCAGATCATAAGCGACTTCGAGAAATCTTCTCCCGTCGATGCGACGGCCGGGCAAACTGAAGGAAGGTGTTGCCATTATGTCCATCTCATAAATTTGTCAAAAAAACTAAGAAAAAGATTTTTCTACCGTGAAAAAGTCGACAAATTGGTAACCCATCGTGGCGAGGCCCGGCTAGCCTTCATCAGCTGATGTATTGTCATACACGTAGAGTTGTTCATCTCTTTTTTGGGGTGGTACATAGAGGGCGCCGTTTGCGCAAATGTCCTCAAAATTTTATTCGGATCTCTTAAAACGCGTGGAGGGAAGGGCTTGAAGAATTTAAAACTAAATTTCATTCGAAATAGCATGTTGAGGGAGCACTGCATGTCACCCATCTCAAAGTCACTACAGGACCCCACGTCTACAAAGCGCACTTGGTGCAGGCCGGCAAAATGTGATGCACTAAACTCTGAAATTACTAGAGAATTGAAGGAATTGAATCGATCTCATATCTTAGTTTTGCTTAATCACGGGAACTTGTTCCGGTAATGATGGCCTCCTGGGTTGTTATACTGGGACTCAATGCCGGATGATATCGTATTCCCTGCATTAACTTACCGCGTAGAACCGGCAATGAAAATTTGAAACAATACAAGGAACGATGTCATGATACGGAAGTACATCTGTATTACATTTCTGCAGAGTCATACATCAGAATGGCATATTTATGGCTTCTTAGAAAAGTTATTGTTCTTCCTTTTGGGAACGAGTACTACTATAGGCCTAAATACGTTTTGGTTGATGTGATGTGTGCAAAAATGGGGGGGGGGGTGAATAGCTCATCCCCTCCAACAAGTGGGGAGGGGGTTATATGTACTCCCAGGATTTACGCCCGTCTAGAAACTTCAAGCATTACTGAAAACCATATTATCGGCTCCTTGAAATGGTGATGTTTTGTTTTGTTTTAATGGCGCTTCCAGCTACTTGGGCTATTTGCGCCACTAACTATATGTTTATTCATACACTTTATTAATCAGCATCACATTACGGAGTTAGGAAGAAGGTCCAATTTTAGAGGCAGGAGAAAACTGGAGTACCCGGAGAAAACCTGCGAGAGCGAGTATGGACTGGAAACCAAATGCACTTAAAGCCTGGGCCAAGCCACTAGACAGGACTCGAACCCAGGCCTCATTGGTGCAAAGCGAAGAAAGAAAGTGACGCTAACCCCTTCTTGAAATGAGATTAATCTGTGCTTTAAATGATGAGAATAGACGTGGGTTCGAGTCCCACCCATGTAAGTTAATTTTTCATGCTACAGTGAGTATACAGACCGACCCGGTGACAAGAATTTAGAAAAAGCCTGCAGATAGAGTCCCCACTCGCGTCAACAAAAGAGATCTGCACATTGAATGCTTCCTCATCAGCCCATATGGGAGCGCACTGCTAACCCAAATCACGTGATCGTCAAGCTTAGGAATGCGTGCCTGAGTGACCGTCGGGGACTCCGTAGTAATGGCGTGAGCAAATCAGTCTATACGTGAAAAGCAAAACGCCCTTTAAATTTACAGTTTGTCCATCCAAAGGACATGGCATAACGCATTGTACCACACGATGGGCATTCTGTGTGATTTTTATTAGGCTGCCCGGCCAGTGGCGTAGCTAGGATTTTACAGGGGGGCACAAGGGGGACCAGTTTTTACTACTTTACTTTCTTTGGGGCAAGCTTTTGTTAGACATATTCCATATCCATTAATCCGGTTTTTTTTTAGTGGGGGGCACCGGAAATGGGGGAGGGGGTACGTTCCCCAAGTCCCCCTTCAGATGGCGCGCTTCCGGAATCCTTGGATAGGAAAAATAACGTGCAAAGATTGTAGAATTTGTAATATTTTTTCGTTCGGTTACTTCTTTAAAAATTCAACTAGGAAAAGGGGCTTTGGAAAATATTTCCTCTATTATATCAATTTATAGAAGCTGAAAAATCACCTGACCTAAAAGAGAAATATCCGCCAAAAATTGACCCATCACTTACGAAAATCTGAAATACATGAAGAACAGTGCAATGCGGCAGTCTCGTACACAGATGAATACGGTTTGAAATTTTATGGTAGTCCGTCAGTAAAAACCGAAATAAAAACATCAAAATATCTTATACAGTTTTATAATTTATAAGTAGTAAACTTAAAGCAACATTCTACTTCAATTACTAAATCTTTAACTTTTGCTGACAACAACTGTGGAATGGAATCCATTGACTGCAAGTAGGTAAATTTTTGCAACGTTGTACAATATCGTTTTCACTTAAGCACGGGCAGTGAAAACAATCGTACTTGAACATGGAGACCTATAGGTACGATATTGCCGGACGTGAAAGGTCGTTAATAAAATTCGTTTTTTTTACCCATCTCCAGGTGACTTTTCCTAACTTCACTCGAGGAAGACAAGGGCAAAATTCCAACATGAGCGTTTCATGGGGTGGTTACATTTAGGAATTATTCTTCCAAAAATTATCGAACGTGATAGGGCAGCCCAACGTGAGGGAGGACCGCGCAAGGGTTCCTGATAAAGCTCGCTGCGCGGTCTTTTACTTTCAGGCTCTGGTCTGGGCGTTAGCCGCGGCATAGTCTACCTTCTGTGCTAGAAATTATCGGGTGACTTGTATCGCATTCTGTTGGTATAAACAAAATAGACCACCCAAAGGTGTAGATTTTTGCCGGCTGGAGGGGTCGTGTTTTGCTTTCAATATTTTTACACCAGGCTAATACAGGACAATACTGTCGTTGACTTTTTGGGGACGTGACAAAAGCAGCTCAGCTTCTCTCCCACAGGAGAGGTGAAGATTGATGAAAGAGTCTTAGTCTACTGTTATTCAACATCCAATTTTTCAGAAATTCTCGTGGAAACAATTATGCACCCTTTTGATCACTGTTTATGCGAGGAGCTATGCCCTTTCAAAAATACATGTACTTAACTAGGCCATTATTGCTCATAATCGTCCTTTCTGTCACACCCACAATGTTTTCTTGTGTCGGCTTTCCTTACTGAGAAAATATTATATGGAAAAAAAAGGACAACTGTTTCTTGGACCTGCGCACGGCATGTGACTCGCACGGCCTCCTTAGAGCTTGATTTATATTTAAATACTTCAATGCTAGTCTTATCAAAACGTATCCGAATAGAAATTGGGATAGGCGTGAGATCCAATGAGCAACACACGGACAGTGTTCATACACGCTCGTGCTAGCGCTTTGGGAGGCAAAGCAGAAGTAGGCGTGAAGAAAAAATGGCAGACCTCGAACCAATTTCTGACCAAGAAAAGGTAAGTAAATACAACTTTGCTGTGATAGTAATAACTACTCTATGACAAAGAGGCATTGAACTTTTGGAGTTCTTAATTAGACCCATATTTGAATTGTCTCGAGAGAAATTCAACACATCAAACTTACTTCCTGCTTTTTGTCAACTTGACAGTTCAATTCGGTCATACATGGTCATATACTAGAGTCGCCCATTTTCCGGACAGTTTCCAGCTATATCAAGGTCTACAAGGAATCAAAACTGTCTTTGTATCGTGTTTGGCGTCTTTACATTATTACAATATATTCCAAAATCTTGTAACCTATATGAAATATCAAGATTAAAATGATGGAATAGGCCTATCGCCTATGCTGATGGACATGATGGAAGTATATTGCAAAGAAAGCTAGATACGAAGGTCATATGGTCTAACTAGACAGTGGGTTAGTGTGCAGTGACAAAGAAGTCTATGAATAATTTCTTTGTTGGAAGTTGGTCCAGCACTAACATCCATTTTGTTTCCTGTAGCAACCATGAAAATGATTTTCTTCTGTAAATAGTAAATTAAACCAACTGACATGACCGAATAGATATTGTATGGGCTTAGGCCTAATTCGTATAATAAAATAAAATAAAATAAATGAGCCTTTTGAAATAGAAATCGGGTTGAACTACCCAGATTGTTAAAATCACATTGAAAATCATTTTGGATGTTTGTTTGTTAGGTGCGCATAGCATCATCGTTCATTCGGCATATACCCCCCGGAGAATTCAACGAGGTCTTTAACTGTAAGTTTGTTTTGATTGTAATTACCAGGTTCAACTCTCTGTACACGCAGCTGATGCACAGTCTTATTTTTCGTTGATCCAAACATCTCCGACACCTTGATTTGTGAGATAAGAAATGCCTTTTTTTATGGGAGATTCAGGTGAATTGTGTACTCAGTGTTTTTCTTATGCCTCTTTTTACAGCTGTGAGAACTTTGGTCAATAACGATAAGTTACTGAAGGATCAAGTGGTGGAGTAAGTATCCATTTTGTTTGCACGTATTGCGTACTTACATTAACTGAGTGGGATTTGAGCGTAACCAGTAGAGGCATTTTGAAAACAAAGCTCAAAAAGTTTCCCGTTAGTACACGTAGCCTGTTTCAATCTAGAAATTAGCCTATTCATTGTTTGTACTTTTATTCTAACTTCTGCTGAAGTATTAGTTGCATCTTGTTTTTTATGTTCTTCCCTGAAACAGTGCCATTGCTCAGTACAATAATGAGCAACTCACCCCTTGCAAAGTTGACAACGAAATGGTAAGTACTCAAAAAGTTTAATCCCAGATGCCCAGTTGCTTCGAGCTTTCATGGCTTGGTTGCAATTTAATTGACACCCATTGTTGGTGCGTATTCCAAAAGTTTAAGTCCACTCGGACAAATACATGTATTTGAGTAATTATTGTCTTTAAGAACTCACACATCAGTACTGACTGATCCTTTCTTACATACTGGGCCCAGGAAAAGTTAATGCATCATGTGTTGGTAAAGTATTTCAAAGGGTCCATGCAGTAAAAAAAATTACACACCCCTTGAAATGCGGCTAGAGTTTTGTTCTAGTTAACCTGATTTTCATTTTTTTTTGCTATTAATTTCAAAAGTTGTTTTCAGAACTTGTTTTTTTCATGCTTGTACCAGTTTCCATATTCATGAGCAAACATTTGATATCATCATAGGGAGAAAACCTTTGTGCTTTTTTTATATTTCACAGTGTAGAATGTATTCATATTTCACTGCCCTAAATTTCCTCATATTTGGCGCCTCGTTGGCAATAAGCCAATGAAGAAGCCTTTCTAAGAAAGATTTTCAAGGCGCAAATTTGGGGTTCACAGTTTTGAGTTAAAAGAAAAGCATGTAAACATGTGTCATCCCCGAATGATGTCATAGCAACAGTGCCCTCAGTTGTCCAGAAAAGTATGAACAATTTTAAACGTTTAAAAAGTTGCACGTTTCAGCACACTCAAATACAGAAGGATGTCAGATGGTTTTCGTGGACTGACGGCGAGTATAAAGTTACACAAAATGCGCATCTAAGAAAAAATCATTGCCTAGACCCTTTAAAGAGAGCTGTGTGTCCAAGTTTTTATGGTGTTGGTGTCAAAACATCTGACATCCGACGCTTGGCAGTAAAAGCTTTTATTGTCAGTATTAAATTAAAAATGGAGGGATGGAAGGAAGAATGCAGGGTGGATTCATCGGGGAGAAGGAAGGATGTTCCTCAAAAGTGATACCCAACTGAGATGAACCAGGAAGCATAATTGAATAATGAAAGATTAAAGCTGGACAGTCAATATTGACACTATGTTATCTTCTTGGCATTGATGACCCCCTTTCTATCCCATCATGCACTGTGGCTAACACAGTGACACATCATTGGCACATAGGGCTGTTCTGTGATTCCTTTGTGTTTACCCTCTGAACTCTCTGACTGATCCATGTTATTGTGAGTCTCAAAGATTTGGATTGCCCCAAATTGTGAAGACTTTTATACGATCCAACCTGCTTTTGGCTCTCAGAAATAACTTGTGTACAACTTGCTTGTGGTTTTTGTGACCCATAAAAAGTGTGGTTGCTTGTACATCATTGCGTAATATGTATTACGAGGAAACAAATAACAAAATTGTCAGCAAACAAATAACAAACTGGGATCCTGCCAGTGCCAATACCTTTTATCATGTTAGATTATGAACCTGCCAACCCTCAATAATATAATTTTAGAAGAAAAAAATCAGAAAAGTTTCAATTACATACCCTGGAATGGGGTAATTTGGTTAGATGTAAAGAAAGGTTACCTCAATGTATTAGTTTTATTTTACCCACCGATACCTCAAATTTTAGTTAAGTTTGCCATCTTGAAAATTTAACAACTGCTAGTCCAATTTAGGAGGCATTTCTACAGGAATGTCAGTATCCCACATGGGAAATTGTGGATTTCTCTGAAGGTGAAGAAAGGTTTACAGGTGTGTTAACTTGTAAACCCCACTCGTCACAAAATACATGTGGGAGGGGTTTGGGGTATCAAGTGCATTAGTTTTTGTGGGAGGATCAGTGAAGATGGACAAAGTAAAGAAGACAAAGGTTTGTTGTTTTACTCTGCGTATCGCTTCGTGAGTAAGGCTCTGAAATTGAAATTGCAGTTTACAGCCATCATCAGTTCGTGGTGTGCTTTCAAGTTTGGTTTGGTATGCAACCTTAGGTTCTCATCACTGAACATGGGAACGTCGGCGGTAATCGCTACGTGGCGCCCAACCTAAAGAAGTCTTTCAAATATGACCATCTGCGGAAGGAGTCTTCGGACATTGACTCCCATGCCGTGAACGAGATGGCGGAGCCGTGGAGGGCGGCCATGGACAAGGCGATAATTGCCCATGTCAAGGATCACTTTCCAAACGGAGTCCACACGGTAAGCCACTCGTAGGGGAGACAACTGACCAATACTGTCGATGCCAGTCTCAGGTTTGGGCTTGCTTCAACCAGCCAGTTCACACCCGATGACATGCAAGCACAGGATTTCCTGTTCCGTAACACAGAAGATGTTTAAGTGCATTCTGGCCAATTGGGTATACGGTGCCGGGTAACTTTTTTTATTCGTCCCCATGCTTGAGTGATTCCTGTTGAGTTTGTAAACACACAGGGATGACCTTCGTCCAGGTTGAGCATACGCAGAGTCCTCAAGCGGCCATGGGTCGTGGCGCCCAACATTGCATTTCAGCAGATATCACACCGTGACATCATCATGGAATCTCCAAAAAGCAACAATGAAGTAACAAATGTTGCACAAATTTTCAACAAATGATCACCAAAGCCCTACATTTGTAAACTTCAACTTTTCAATGACTGCGGTATCTTGACATTTTAAAAAGTTTGCAAACTAAAATAGTGAATCTTTTTTTTTTCCACCTGCAGGTCTACGGAAAGAGCGATGGGGATGCAGTCACGTTGATTGTATGTATCGAAGATCACAAGTTCAGCCCCCATAACTTCTGGTATGCAATGCTCTGTTTTTTTTTCCAAATGCCTTGATTTTGGTCGACCTAAATCCACATCAAAGTGCTCAAACTCTCACTTTGCTAAAGCAGTTTATACGAGCAGTTTAAGCGTGTTGGCCTGAGCTCACCAGAGTGTTTCACAGGAATATTTTCATTTTACAGTTAGATTTGATTTTGTCTTTTGTTCTTCGGGGAAGATCCTCTCTTAATTTGGACAGCGAGTGTAGTAATCTGATCAAGCCGTTTGAAAAAAGTATACTTGGAGGTTATTGCTTGCTCTTCTGAGGACACACTCGCTCAACTGCCCACACTTTGCTTTAATGGAGGAAGCTCTTAAGACATGACATACCACTTTCTTTTCAGGAATGGACGCTGGCGATCACAGTTTTCCACAACTTTCACTGGCCCCGGGACCAAGGCCGAAGTCAAGGGGATCATGAAGACTCAGGTCCACTATTACGAAGACGGCAACGTCCAGCTGGTCAGCCACAAGGAAATCAAGGAACAAATATCAATATCGGTCAGTTTCCTACCACAGACGCCAAGAGCAAACCGAAGAGTTTGGGACTCAAAGCAGGATTGTCCACCTTTCACTTGTAGACGAAGATCAGCTTTGAAGAGACAGGGAGGCCATTACTTTCTGAACAAATATAGACCTCACATTCCATCATATGTTGGAATTTATCTGCTTGTGCATCTGTAATTTCCAAATCATTACTGGTCAATTTTCTCATATAAAAGACGAAACATTCTTGGTTGGTAACGTCATATAAAACAAAATGCTAAATACTCGTCAGTATTTTGAAAAACAAAACCAAAACAGACATCAGTGCAGGTCCATCTGTACTGCTGCTTCGCTCCTTTTCATATCCTCAACATGATGTTAGGCCAACTTCGGTCAGTTTTCTACTGTGAAAATTCACATGTATCAGAGTTAGTCGGTTTGGTTTCCTTCCACTTTTTAAAATAAAATTTTACAATTATCAGTCAGATTTCCATGCTGGTTTTAAAAAAAGAGACAGTCTTCAGTGGATGAGCGGTCAAATTCAGTTACTGTTGAAATTTCCTTTTCATCCTCCAGTAAATCTTTTATCCAACAAACTCCATCTGCACCTCTGATTTTTCTCCCTGATTTAAAGACCTTGAGTATCGTGTGCCTTTTGTTCTCTCCTAACCTTTAACTTTTGACCCCTCCAGGATGAGGCAGCTACAGCCAAGGCCATCCTGAACGTGATCGAGAAGGCCGAGAACGACTACCAGAGCTCCATGGTGGATGATTACAAAGTCATGTCGGAGACAACCTTCAAGGCTCTGCGACGCCAGCTTCCCATCACCCGCTCCAGGATCGACTGGAACAAGATCAGCGATTACAAACTAGGCCAGGAGTTGAAAGGTGCCGAGGCAGACTAGACCAACCATCTCCACCCCCTCCTCCCCCAAAATAAACAATGCCATTTTAAAAAGAAACAAAGATATACTGTTTAAACGTTTGCTCTCCGCTGGGTTTATGTATGTGAGTGGGGAGTCGTACATATCTACATACCGGGCTCTAATATTACTGGGGATTTTTTTTTTTCCTGTGAATGTGAGTTCCAAAGAGATTCATCCGATTTCGTTATAAGTTGTAGGCAGAAGTTCTTTCCTTGAAGTTGCACTCGCAGAATGTTGGTGACGCATTGGGTTTCTCATCAGACTTCTGCACTGATGACTTTGCACTGTGTGTACAGCTTTGTCATGATGCTTAGCAGACTGAAGGCCCCAATTGCTCTGTTGGAAAGTGCAGGTGTAAACAGTGTGTGACATCATCAGTGTATAGGATAAGATAATAGAGAGCGCTTTCCATGCATTTTGACATGAGCCTATTTCTAAAATAACTCGACAGGAGATCTCGGAAACTCGATGCGTCTTTTTGTAGGATTAGTTCTCCAGTAGCTTGAGTCTGAGTTTTTTCTTCACTTCAGAACTTAAAAAAACCAAATTCTCGGTCCAAAGTTTCTTGCACATGTTCACATTCATGGTTGTGGTCTGGCCCCAAATGCACATGGAGAATTGAAAGAGTGCTACAAGAAAATTTCATAACTTCAGAAGAGTGTTGGGCGATCATGTTGGTCTGTAGTTTTGAAAGGAAATTGTCGCGTCGTTCAAAGTCGAAACGGGACCAGATGTTATTGAACAGCATTGAGTGTTCTTGTACATTGTTTAAAAAGAAAATTTCTTTTTCCCGTTTGTTTTGCAATCATATTGAAAAAAAAGGAAAATTGATTGAGAATGACTTTATCTGTTGATAAGACTGCAAATTAATTGTCTTAGATTTTTTTGTCAGCGCAAGTCATACAGCTGCATGGTGTAGACTACATATATATGAATCGTTAGTAACTTTGGCTTATTTATACAAAGTATTACCCAGTAATTATAGATAACTGATGATTTGTGAGAGCAGGGGAAAATGTTACGGCAACTAGTTAATTATGAAAAGAAAAGGCATGAGATGGAATTCTTTTACTGAATGCCAAGAGTTTGATCTTTTTTTTTTTCACAGTGTCTAACATCTTGTCAATATTTCTGCAGTTTTATGTTCTGTAGTTTTTTTTTATCTGCTGGGCGTTGTAGTTACCGGGCAAGTTGGAGTTGTAAGAATTCAAGCTGGTAGAACAACTGTCTGTGTCACCTTAAGTACCCTCTGTCTGCTGAAATCCAACACTTGCTTTTGGCAGTATATTCAGGACTTCACTGTTACTGTTCAGCTAGGGCCTTGATGGCTCATAGGGCCCCATTCATTCACACAGACCAGCGGTAATGAATTCCGTGAAACAGAACACAAGGTTTTTCCGTGGGACAGTTTACAAACTACTCGGTCAGGGCACAAACCGCCGCATCTAGAAACCTAGGCAGTGTTCTAAGATACTAAACTGAGACTCGCACGTTGTGGCCTCTCAGAGGCCTTGTTAGGTGTCACGTCACAGAGTCGGTGGGAGAACGTTGGAGCGAGAGTGGGCGTTGCTTTCTCCTGCCTGTGATTCTTCCTATGGGGTGCTACTATTAAAAGTGGAAAATCGTCAACATGAAATGACTTGCAGGATGCATGGATTTCTGCCATGCGTGTAAATGTACCGAGTAAATGCGCCGTGTACCACTTTCATTCAGCGCATTCCATTACTGCACTTCTGTGTAAACAGGTATTTTGCCTGCAGAATTGCCCATTGTTGGATGCACAGTGCTGGATTTTTGGAGTTGTAGAAAAGTTCTTAGCAAAAATACACAGCCTAACAAAATAATGCTTTGGATGGCCCTCTTTTCAGAGTGTTTTATCATTGCCTCAGCCTTTGGGGGGAATTTGTTCATGTTAGTGTTGGAGCCATCTTCAAAAATAATTCCTTGGTTGTTGTGAGAACGATGAAAGCGATATCTTCATGAAGGATAAGTAAGACTGACTCAATGGCCATGTTTAGGAAACTATTGAATATATATTTCACTAAAACTGTGACTTGATGTAGATAATCTATAATGGCTTACGAAACAGAAAATGTATCTAATATTGTAGGTACTTTGTCATCGATTTCACCCGAAGATTCCACATCAAAGATATTGATAAGGCCATGCTATCAAGGTCACTTGTGACAAGAATCTTTTGCCTGTTCTAGTAATCTGCTTTACATTAAAGAATCCTGCAGTAATGAGTACCCAATTGACACCCCAAGCTGGTCTTTATTCACAAGTTTTCTCTTGCGGGACATCCGTGCCACGCAAATGCCATTTCTTGCAGAACTTCAAAATTGGTTCTTTATTTTCTTGAGTGGTTAACTTGTATCTCTAACATATTACTAAAGATTTTCATATGCCGTAGCAGACCACCTGCTTCAGATCACCAGGGAAATATCTTAAGTGGAGTGGGTGTTCGCATCAAAGAAACTGTTGATGAATTGTTTAAATCAACCCAGGGTTATGTAATCGTTTGTTAGTGAAATCTGGTGGTGGTTATGAAAGACAATAGCTGTAGATCTGGGCATGTGATTTAAACGTCTCAATGAAAACTGTTTTTATACCTGTTAGTCCAAAATTCAGCATTTTTCTTTCTTTTAAATGACGTTTAATGGGAGAATTAATGGGTTCATAAAGAATGCACCCACAACTAGAGTGGAACCAATGAATCTTGTTTTATACCTTAAAAAGTATAATGCTTCGTGATTTCAATTTAACAAAGCACCATGCTTGTTTGAAGCACATACAGGTTGGTTACGTCAGAAGGAGAACATTACGGATACAAATGAATCTTGTAACCCGTGCATTAACAGCTCTCTTTGTCAGGTTGCAGTGTTGAAGTCAAGACCATCACAAAACCATTGACAGCACCTGTCATAAGTAACGGGGTGAACCTTGGCAACGGAATGATCTTGTTGAAGTTTATTCAAATAACTTGTGACTTGAAATCCGTATGAATAGTCGGCAACATGATGAGGGAAGTCGGTATACTTCAAGACGGCTGTGTGAGATTTTGTCCTGGCTATTGTAAGCAGATTCTAAGGATCGCTCATCTGAATAATACCGAGTTTTGTGATGAGATTTCACGAACAGTTTTTGTGTGATACTCGCTTTCCTTGGTTTGCATTTTGAGTAATTTGTTTCCATAACCAAGAGACCAAATTAGAAAATTGTTGATGTTGAAACAGTTGGAGTGACTCCTGGTTTATGTCAGTCTAAATAGACAACAAAATGGCATCAACAGTGGGTAGTAGACAGGGATAACTCTTTGCAACATTGTTGCGCATAGGTGCTTTGTAGGGCGAATCGCTATGTTGGTCATATGCATGTCAGTAAGCGCTGTTTTGTGGAGCAGTCGCGCTTTGCCTGTTGTGTTGGGCAGGATGACATTAATCCATTGATAAGATGTCATGAACAGTTAGAAATCCAGAACCTTTTTTGGGGTGGAAATTGTGCAAAGCGGATAATTTTTCGTAAACATTTGGCTGATGGATGCTTGTGTTTCCTCAGAATTTTCTGATTTGATGTGATTTTGACTTTATAATAATTGCTCTTGTAGATTTGTTGCAGACATGATTAAAGATAGCCACATGACTAACCACTAAAGATTTTATTTCACTGCGTTTGTGTGTGTCTCGGGATGTTTTGAGCCAAGTGGACTCCATAAACTACCTGTATCCTAATACAGTCCAGTTGCAGAAGTATTCCGTAGATGACATTCGTGAAAATACTGAGCCATTTCTTAAATATTTTGCCAAATTCTTTGTAGACTACGCAAATGTGAAAGCAATTGTGTTCATTAGTATATTCCACCTGTAAAAGAAAGAATATGTCATTTTTAAACAATCTTTTGAGAGCTAGGTTGAAAATTTATCTTCAACCATCACTTTTCAAGTTTTTAAGATTTATTTCATTTTTTGCGGGTACTTGAAAATGTTAGAAATTTTCTTCTTATCCGTTTTTTTCTCTGTGTTAACTCACAGCTGAGTCCCCCATTTGAATAAACAGTGGCCCCGCCCTCGCTACTCAGCTCAAAAAAAATCTACGTGACGTGTACTTAATTGCGCCCTCTGTTGTTCAACTTAACATCCCGGAACTTGTATTGCTGTTATCAACATCAACACCGACTAACTTTGGTTTCACTTTTAGGAACGACGCGGACGGACAGGTCACCTCAGTATGTTGTATTTCTGAAACGTTACAGTTTTCAGCATATTTCATGGTATTCGTACTTTTAGTAAGTATTTTCTAAATGTATTTAGTGTTTTATCAGTGTAAAAAATGTATACTATCATCATACAAAATGTATCCAGATTTCGGACGCAAAGTGGCACAGGCTGCATAGGGTCATAGTATTACACATGACATGCACATGTTCAATGTAGGTAGGCCTCTCTGTAATATAAGGATTTTTATTGCTCTTAATCTGTCATATTTACTGTATTGTTACTTGGAAAATAAACGAGATTGATTGAGTGCACAAGGGACAAAAACAAACAAACATACACCGCCACCATGCACGTCAATTCACATCTGTATCATCTGTACATGTACGTGTATCCAATTTACATTGTACGTGCCTTTTCGCAATGTTGTACACACAAACAACTCCCTCCCACCGAGGAAACCAAGGGTAACATGTTTTTTTGGGTCAAACAAGCCCTGAAATGGTGGCAACGGTTTTTACCACAGTGTATTTAGGCCTATTAGGGAAAAAATAAAGGTTAGTTTTTATAAAGGCCTACTTGCCCTTTCTATACTATTTCAATCAAAATAATATCCCATGCCCCGGCTCTGACCTTCCTTTTTTCAAAGTGCTTCTGCACACTTTAACGACCCCATTGTCTCCATTTAAACCAGGCCAAAGGCATTTTTCCACGGTTAAAATGGCTTTGACAAAAGTCTTGTCGGTGGAGCTCTTCGCTTGCAAACCAGGAGTGGGAAAGTGAATGCATCATGCTACACTTTTATATTTATCTCAAATCAAAATAAAATACCCAAAGCCCATGCCCCTCCTGGAGAGTACCACATTGAATATGATGCCATTGCTCTCCTCAATAAGCGACAACTCTTGGCAGCCCGGGGCATGGTGTTTTTCGGGTCAAACCATCCCTGAAATGTTGGCATCAGTATTTATTGCAGTGTAATTATTAGAGGAAAAAAAAAGGTTGGGTTTTTATATACTTGCTGATTCATCAAAACTATTTCAGTCAAAAATGTAGTTGGCAAAGTTTGTTTTTTCGGTCCCTTTTGCACTCCATCTCTTTTCAGGATGTGCATCCTGAATGGCAAACGGTTACTTATTCAACAAGAAGTAACAAACGTTGAACGAGAAACTTACTTCACATCGGTGTCTCGCCAGCCATGACAAGGCAACTCCTGAGATGCAGCGCCGCAGGCACAACCTTGTTTGCCTTGTAGCCTAACTGCTTTATGTGAATTTGCAATGCTGTGGGTTTGTGAATGCAGCCCAGTGAGATCAGATCAATCCCGATCAATGCACTGATGGTGGTCAGGGTAGGACGTACTGCAATTAAAAATGCCACATTCTCAATCAAGTCTTCCCCGAAAAAGCCATTCAAGCTGATCATCAACAATTTTATTGCTAACAAGATGAACATCAAAAGGGCTTAGGAGGGCTCTACTTCCAGAAATGTCATGGCTGTAACAAGGCACAACCCTGTAACTTAAAGTTCTGGAAGTATGAGGTTTCAAGGTCAAGTAAGGGGATATTAAATATTTAAACACAACCTGACACATTGTTGATAATGACAATTCATATTTTAATGAATTATCTCTGTTCTGTTTTATTTCCTGCACAAGGACTGGCCAAGGAAATCCGCAGAGACTGAGCTTTAAATTAACCAACTAGTCTTGCGGCACAATGTTCACTCCAGGTGAATCTCGTCAGTTCCTGCCATGATGCCAGCACAAATTCAAACCACAGAGCAAACCAAGATGACCTGCAGTGCCTTCTTCACCGTCCTCGTCATTCTCTTCAATGTGTCGGTCTTCCTCTTATCCAGCGGCAAACAGTTTGACTGGTTCACACCACGCTCGGGACATTACGACAAAAAATACAGTGTTTTCACCGAGGCTGACAGACAGCAGCGTTTGGAGGATGTTAGGAGAATGTTCTATTATGGATATGATAACTATATGACCCATGCATTTCCACTGGATGAGCTGGATCCCATACACTGCAGAGGTAGGGGACCAGACCATGGCAATCCGTGAGTATGGTAGGAACAGGTACCAGACCAGTGTTATAAAGGCATGTATAACTTTTGTTTTTACGAATGAAGTGGCGAATCTCTTCATGCCCCTCCCCTCGTGAATTGGGTTCAGTTTCAAGTAATTTCAACATTACGTGTGGGTGGTTGTGCTAAAGTAGAATTCCACATGGCAATTGTCCCAGGCATGATGTTATTTATGGCCCAAAATACTGGCTTTCTAGCATGACAGGAGGCCACAATCCCTTTCCTTTGCAAAGGTGGACTTTACAAATGCTGGCCCTTGGTGGTCATCTGTTCAAGGTTTGAGCAACGTTTCTTACGGCATCGTGGCTTGAGGGCTCCAAACACTCTACAGGCTAGTTGAAAGCACTGGAATCCCTCGAGCATCAGGGCATGTACATGTATGCTATAGATGTCGTGCGGTATTGCATGGCAGAATTCCCCGGAACTGGTTTAAATACCCTCTTCCTTGAAGCCCTGAAGTAGTTAAACGGACATTTAGGAAGTTTATAACGTGACCAGTGACCTTAACCTGAGACCGTCATTTTAGTATCACAACAGAAAAGCCCTTTCCGTCTTTTAATCCAATTTTATTCAAGGGTTTGTCTTGTAGAACTATTCTAATATAGTGGAATGGGTCACGCATACCCATTAGTTTCTGTCCCACGTCTTAAATGACTGCATATGTCTTATGTATTTTCCTTTTGTTCTAGCTTGAATGCTTCAAGGCTGTAGGTGCTGTTGGACGTCCTTGGTTTCAGTGCCTTAACCCTAACCCCCTAGGGTGTATATAAAATCGTATTGAAATTGGAGGATTTGGGAGTGTTAGGGTTAATGAAATAATTTGCTACACAAACATTGGTATTCCATTGCTTGACTTTTGTCTTGCTGTCGTTCACAGCTCCAACTTGAACATCAACGACGTGCTTGGTGGTTACTCTCTGACATTGATTGATGTTTTAGATACACTTGCTGTAAGTAAATATCAGTATTCTATTTTGACTGTCCATTTTGACGTGGACATGCGTTGTGCTCAGAGCGCTAACCTTCCTGGGCAGAGATCCATCCTGAACAAAGCTGTCCTCTCAGTCCAAACAAGTCTGGTGACTTGTTTTCGACAGATTAGAGTTCCCTGTCTGCATCAAGCAGAATTGAGTGGCTGTGACTGCTTATGTCACTTGATACTGCGCTTTGACCGTCGATGGTCGATATGAAGCCAGATATTAAGCCATCTGTGTCTACCAGTTGCCTGTTTTTGTCTGTTGACGGAATGTGACCGCTCGTAGAGCCAAACAGATTATTTATCTGACTGTTGATGACTAGGCTGTGTAGCAGGGGAAAATAAATGGAATATTTGATTATCATAAATGAGGGAAGGTTACAGTTAGGGATGTGAAGATTTGATCGTAGCAGCATATACAAATGTTGACTTTAGTAGGAGTGTTTTTTTATTGCTTTGGTCAATTTTGTTAAATATTACACAGTTAGTAAAAAAAACCCCAGCCAACTACAATTGAATACTCTAGCCCAAGGGGCAATAGTACTTAAACAATTCATGGTGGAGGATGTATAAAGACAATCTGCCTATCTGTATACAGAACGCAGACTCTGTGGGTGGGTTAAACTGTCAAGCATGCCTTGATTCACGTCTGGCTAATGCCTGGACACACTAATCTCTGGTTTGTTTTACACACATGCAAAGTCTGAGTAGTCCGCGGAGGCAGACTGTGTGTGGAACCTGAAATGAGATGATCAGCCTTGTTGCTGTAGCTATTGTGGCACTGTGGGTCCCGGCCCGGAGGGTTGACAAATATGTGGTTGCGGAAAGAAATACCATTGATTTGAGATGATTCTTGCAAACCAGTGTTTGCGGACGTCTCCTGCATGTCAAAAGTTGACTGCTTGCCTTTTTTGAAAGGTGAAATTTTCCGTCAAAAGTAACACCCTCGGCAAGTGGTCAACAATACTGAACAGAACAAACAACAGAAAAAAACAGGCAGTGATTGATGGCAGCTTGAATCGGATAGAATTTTGTGGAAGCACCTGCTGAGCAAGTAGACTCAACTCACCTTGAATGCCGTTAATAGATTGTGTCAAGGTGCCACTGATAAGCAAAGACTACCACCGTTTGGTGTCGATCTTCCTGCTCAACAGATCATTGGTAACAGCAGTGAGTTCAAGAGAGCAGTAAACCTGGTCATCGATAACGTGACCTTCAACCAGAACACCACTGTACAGGTGTTTGAATCCACAATAAGGTGAGAATCAGGGGTCCCAAGTTTGCAAGATGTTCCCAAAAGCCAAGTTTTGTGCACACGTTGAAACTTTTAGAAACAGCGATTGTCTTTGGTCAACTGGAACTTTCATGTTACGGTCCCCTCTCCGTCACATGTTGGTCCAAAAATCTTGGTTGTGGTTGGCAGGAGCACACGCATACATGTATATGGAAGCAAGTGACTTAATCCATGACTACCATTGATGTATATACATGTAGGTCACTCTAGCTAAGACTTTCTGCAATAGGCACATACTAGTGATGCTGTTGAAAAGAAACTCACTAAGTGAGGCCCCGTTGCAGATATGTTTGAAAAATAGAGCCTAATTAGAGAATTCTCAAGATAATTTACAGACTGCAAGTGTTTTCTGTGCAAACCCCTGCTGATTTCAACCGTCATTTCTGTCTGTCCCTTCAGAGTAATGGGAGGACTGTTGTCGGCCCACCTCTTGATCATTGACCCCTACCAACCCTACGGTGACCTCTACCCTGACGATTACGATGGACAGCTGCTTCATATGGCTCATGACCTGGCTGTCAGGCTACTGCCAGCCTTTGAGAATACACCAACAGCGATTCCACATCCACGGGTAAAAAGTCTTAGATTGCATCGTGACGAGGGCCAAAGTAATGCAACTCCCGAGACTCAATGATGCAGACCACCATACAAACACGTATTTTGTTTCTACCGTTGTAGGAATTTGGCACAGCTGAATAATCCAATGAATAGAAGGTCCGATATTCCGGCACTCACTTAATCAAACTGATTAAGCCTTACACTGAGGCTACTGATCCGTGTACAAACTCCCCCACCCCCACATTATCGGACAGTGCTCTTCTGTCAGTTGAAAGCAGTCCAGTTTTATCCTTACACCTCCCTTCCTCAGGTGCATCTGTGTGAGGGAGTACCCACCAATGGAATCCAGGAGGCCTGCACGGCGGGGGCAGGCTCTTTGATCCTGGAGTTTGGTCTCCTGGGCCAGCTGGTGGACGATCCCATCTTTGAGCGGGTTGCTCGGAGGGCCATGGATGCCCTATTTGCCAGACGATCCAACCAGACAGGATTGCTAGGTATGTCGTTGGTGTATCAGTTGAGTGTGGGATAAACAATGTACATGTGCAGTAGGCGGAGAATTATGTGACATCGAAAAACTCTGAACATATTTCAATTGTTTAGTTTACATCTTCATACTGTAATATAAGAAAAATGCTTTCTTAACGTGTAGATGGGTTATTCCTTCTCCAATATCAAATGCACCATATAAGGTCAAAGGGGGGGGATTCAGGGCCCCCGTTCTCAAAGGAGCCCAAACTATGTTTGAAATTAATGAGAAAAAGTCAAACATTTTGGTCTACTTCATTTCCCTTGCTTGATAAAGCCTGTGAAAAGCTGTAAAATGTAGTCTCACCCCTTGGACAGACCGTAGATAGTTCAATGAAATGTCTAAATGTTTTGGCCTCCCAAATGAGCTAGCCCCCCCCATCCAGAAAATGTAGTACTAGATTCACTCTTGTCTAGAGTGTGAGACTTGGAGTAAATTCATCATAGAGATGTTTATTTTTGACCTCGTTCACAAACCCAAGCCAAGTTTGGTCAGCAACCATTTTTGAACCTCTTATTGATTTGCCTGGTACCCAGGGTATACTTCATGTGTACATGTAGGTTACCAGCCAGAATCAACCAGTAGTTGACAAAATGGTCGCTGATTAAACTTAATGTTTGATGGAGTCAGCAAGTTTCACTTGCTGACAAATAGTTTTGCCACATTGTGTAAAACTCCACTGGATTTAACTCTGATGCCAATTTGATTGTCTCTTATTGCACTGAAAAACTGAAATCTTCCAAATGTTCCCTCTCTTGATTTGTTTAGGAAATGTGATCAATATTCAGACAGGGGAGTGGATTGGTATTCAGAGTGGCCTAGGTGCTGGGTCAGACTCGTTCTATGAATATTTAATTAAGGTAAGCATTCTACACAGAAGTCAACCGACTGTGGAATAGCTGGCCACAGGGCGGCTCGATATCTGGTCTGTTATTGGTCAAATAGTGTCATGTGATCTAATGTATGCACAGCCATTTCTCATTAACCTTTGCATGCACATTAAAATTTTGGTGTCTTTCCAATGTGTTGCTGGGAAATGTCATCATTAGGCGTTAATGCTGGACAATAAATTAGCTATCTACTTGCAAATAAACTCTCACCTGTATCCACACTGTTAATAGGAAGTCAGTTGTGTACATGAAGTTCAACGGAGATATTAAAATGAAGTTCATGGGCGGTCAGCATTCTGTTTTCATGTCAGGTCGTTAATTTGTTATTGTCCTTGCATTTTCAGTCATTCATTATGTTCGGTAAAGAGCAGGATTTACAGACTTTCAACGAGATTTACAGTAATGTCAAGAAACACATGAGAAAAGGGTAAGCAAGAAAGTGACTTCTTGAATTGTTGAGCTTGGTTTGTAACATTTGTGGCATGGCATGTGCACTGACAAAGCCAGTTTTTTATCATTTGTGGAACATGCAAATAGTTAGCGTTGTTTACCTCAACAGGTTAGACAATGACAAGAACATTTTTAAATAATTAAAGGAATGGAAGACAAACAGTGATAAACAGCATAGTGAAGGTTAATTTGGGAGTTGCCGAGAGAGAACATGGCGAACAATTTCCTGTATAAAAATTATGAACTGATAAGTGAGCATTTAAACTTACCGGAATTTAATGGATTCAAATCTTATCATATCTTGGTGTGAGTTGAGAGTCCGTCAAGCAAAGTGAAAATGAATAAATTTTTCTTTTATGTCTTCTGAACGTAGCAAGAAAAATGGTAATAAATGGAAAATATCGCGGTTGGTTAGAGTGCCCTCCGTGAATTACCATTCTATGACCTCGCAGTAAACACTGTCATTTGATCTGCACGGGGTTGTCTAGGAGAGAGTTTTGCACCAGGGGTCAGGGCAATGTCCCTCTGTACGTCAACGTGAACATGAAGGACGGGCGAACGGTGAATTCCTGGATTGACGCCCTGCAGGCCGCGTTTGCTGGCGTGCAGGTAACGCTGCCATCATTTGAGTGTAATTCAGGGAACCCGTGAATATCCTTGGGTTGGATGTTAATCAGTGGCCCCAAGCTAATCACTAGTTAATTTGCCTAGTGCCTTAGATAAATGTTGTATATTTGTTACCGGGCAAGAAATTGACTAATGGTTGACCATTAAATCAGTGGTCAAGCTTGGCTCATGAATCCATCCATGCACAGTCTTTGCTCTGTTGTACACCAGTCAAACATTCTTTGTAATGAATCAAGACGTCATATTCCTGTGCAAAGCAATACATGTAGCTCCGGCTACATACAGTCCTTAACTCATACTAAAATGTGCAGTTTGTGTGTGGATCTAGAAATTTTATGATATTGATATAAAAAAATAATAGATAGATTGTCCACCGAAAAATGTTGTGTCCATTTCCTGTTTTTTGTGCTGGTATAAGTCAGGATTTTTCATATAGTCATGTCAATGTCTTCAGTGTTATGGATGATTTCCCGTAAAGACACATGTATCATTGTTGTGGGTTTCTTGAACGGTCACAGAAAACCTGTTCTGGAGAGAAGGTGATGAAGGAATGTTCAGTCATAGAGGTAGAAGGAAAGTCCTTAGGAATATTTCTGAGGACACCTCACAGAATCAGGTAGTGGCGGAAAACTCAATCCATGTGTTGGCTTAGAGTGGGATTCGAACCAGGGTCGCAGAGGATGAGGAAAGTAATCACTGCATCAAACTCATTCCCCGTCAAGCCATTTGAAATGCCAAGAAATATCCCAGGCTCGCCCCATCAGTCGTCAGTAATATTCACCATGTCGTGATGTTCACTGTGTAGCGCCTCTTCTACTTTTCTTGTCTAGGTGTTAGCAGGTGATTTGGACGAGGCTATTTGCTCGCATGCCATATTCTATGCCATCTGGAGGAAATACGGGGCCATTCCAGAGAGATTCAACTGGCACACCAAACAACCCGACGTCTCGTTCTACCCTCTACGACCCGAACTCGTTGAATCTACCTACTTACTGTATCAGGTCAGGCTGTATTACACTTGCACTCCCCAAAATAGGTGATCAAGGTTTGTTTCTGTAGTTAAAAAACTCACTGGGCCAGATGTTGAATCAATAACTGATCAGAATTGACTAAAGGTGGTTACTCCATCTGGGGTCTTTAAGGTTCTGCACCCCCCCTTGGCTATGAGAAGGTTAAATGTTTAAAAAGTCTCTTGTAGGGTTTCATCTAACTGTCCCTCTGTGGACTTTATTTTAAGAAAAGCTCTTTAGTACTGTATAGTATTATGTGTATTCATGATTTACTGATGGTCTTTTGGTCTTTTTGTTTGGGTTTTTCAGGCCACACAGAATCCTTTTTATCTTCATGTTGGAAGTGACATCCTTGAAAGTTTGGAGATGTACACAAAAGCAAGGTGAGGCTCAGTTTTTTTTTTCAATCCTGTGAGTGGACATTAACAGGTTACATTCATGCCCGTAGTCCAGTTGTCTTCCGGCGACATCAGGGCACTGAAAAGAAAAAAGTGAATATGATACATAAGCGGTTAATATGTTACAGATATTGGTTCCGCTTTCAGACCTCTTGAGTCGTCTAGGTATTTTCCCAAAGTAATCTTCCTCCCCATTTCTGTCCGCCTCCCAGTTGTGGCTACGCGACCCTTCACAACGTCATCAGCAAGACCAAGGAAGATCGCATGGAGAGCTTCTTCCTCAGCGAAACCTGCAAATATTTATTTCTGGTGAGAAAATAAATCTCATGGCTGGTTGTTTGAAAAAAAAAAGAATGCACAGAATAAAGGACTTTCTCTTGTAAAAGATATCTCAGAGAAGAATACATATATACAGAAATTTAAAAGTTTGAAGTGTCTGTGAAATTTGTCTGAGTTGATGATCCACATATTTCAAAAACCACCGACATATCAGGTTAAATTTCACCTGGGGTAAATTTGGCTGAGTGCTTAGAACACCTGTAGTTGTAAGCTTGAAACCTGAGACTCTACTCCTGCTTGCTCAAGTTGGTAGTGTTTCTCTCACCACCTCATATGAATCATTTCACATCCACATCTCAGTAATCAGTAAGGCACAGAACTGTTTGTTAAACCTGGTTTGTCTTTGTGAAGGTCAATCATTCAAACAGAAATGTCATTTCCATCCCTTCCATTTGTCTTGCCATGCTGACAATACTGTAGTACGCCACAGGTGTCGTTCGTTCCGTCCTTCACGTTTTTTGACAGCTCTTTATTTTTTTTCCCAGCTCTTTGACAGTGACAATCACGTCAACCAAGCAGCTTCTAGGTACATCTTCACCACAGAGGGTCACCTCTTCCCGATCTCGGGGAAATACCGCTCAAAAACCTGGTGGTTGATGGATGACAGCAGAGATTTGTCAAGCACCAGAATACATGGCGATTGCTGCGGCACACTGCCTTATAATCAGACATTAACTGAGGTGAGTGGCCCTCTCTATCCTGGTGAACTATTTGTATTCTGTTGTGATGTTGCCTGTTAAAACTGTCCCAGAAAGAGGCAGTTTTTCTATCCTATTTAAAAGTACATCTTGAATTCTCCTGTATTTAAAAACAATGTCAGTGGGTGCTTGAAAGGGAAATTATGATATTTATTTATTTTTTTTGGGGGGGGGAGAAAAATTAAAGTCGTATTTGTATTTTTAAGAAGAGCTAACGAAGGTGTTAACATTTTGAATGGAAGAAGAGTTGGAAAAGATGTAGAATATACTCGGCTACTTTAATTAGAAAACTCAAGATGGTAACGCGACCCAAAGGGAAAAACTTGCTGTATTGCTAAATCCTAACAGTCCCAAATCCTTCAATTTCAATACGATTTTACATACACCCTAGGGGGTTAGGGTTAACAAAAATGTTGAGATTTTGTCATGCTGTCTCACATAGAGGGTCGAGTATCTTCCAGACTATTTGTGGATCAATTCAATGGGAAATGTTTGATACGCTTGAAGGCAGTAAACATACCGATCCCAGGTAACTGGTCCGTAGTGGGTCACACCTCGTTTTAAGCTAATGTGAGCCTGCTCAAGATGATGCACATGATCATGGACTCGTCACATTGGCTCATCAAAGACAGATTTACCGAGATTGCGCCATCAAGGATTTGAGCTCAAGAAGGGCTTTGCTTCTCAAGAAAATCTGAGGACCGAGTTACCCCGTTGGTTCCCATTAAACTTGACAAGGTGCCTCTTGTTATCTCCTACAGTGTGCCTATGTCCCACGCGAGAGTAAACTCAAGCTGCCTTTGGAGGCTGTGTACCTAGAGCAGATTGACCAGTTTGTGGGGTTATGATGACTTGCCCCGCCCCCCTTGTCCTTCCCTCCCATCGTAGCCGTCTTCCCTTGGCACGTCACACAGACTCTGTCGGCTACAGACAGACAGCAAAGCTTCACTGAGAGGAGCAATTCAGCATGCAGTACACCACCTAGATTTGGCCTGAGTGCGTTCGCTTTTGGCGGTTAACAACTTGCTTAAATTGTCCAGTGTTTACATGCACTCTTGCCCAAACACCAATGCAAGTGGGAGCATCATCCACTCTCCGTCATTCACAAACGGAAAGTAAAACTTAGTCCGCAAGATGTGTTGAAACTGCCAGTTTCTAATATGCAAGATGGATTCTCAAATATTTTCCCATGATGGACTGAGGAAAGCGGCCTCTAATTGATAATCTCTTGGTGGCTCACTTAAGTGCCAATTGCTCCTGTGGACAGCACGAAAGATAAGCCTTTTGTGACCTCGCAGTTGTTTGGTATACTAACCTCTGCCTGTTAGACATCTGGAAAGTTAATTTTTCCAGACTAGAGGTACTTTCAACGTATAATTTGGAATGTCTCTTGCACACTTTATGTATTCTCAGGACAATTTCATTTAGCGTCCATTTACCAGCCCCTGATTGATTTTGCGTGGTAACGCACAAATAAAAGTATCCTGGGTAGTGGGTACCATGCAAAATTTACTTGTTGTTGTTGATCGATGGTCACTGGCTGAACTTTCTGGAAAGGTCTGGCACAAAAATGCCAGACCTTTCCAGAACTTGAGGTTGCTTTGGTAAGGCTTTCCCAGTTGTGTGATACACCAGTAATGTGTTTTTGGTCTAGGAACCTCCAATGTTGATGCTGGACGGCACATATAAAAATCAGGAAATTGGAGTAGACGTTAATTGTTTAGGACCCTTAAGTATTAGCAATTTTCTGTGTCTAAGGGTGTTTACAGATTATTTTCTGTATATTTTGTCAGTCACAAAAATATTTTCGTGGTGCTAATTATCATGATATATAAAAGAACTAATTTTTGTAATTTTTAAACTTATTCTGAGTAATCAACCAAATTTGACAAGGTAATCCCTTTAATTTTATAAATTGGTCGCAGTTTTAGTAATTGGGCTATATTTTTGACTGCAAATCTGCAGTGAACCACGAATCATTGTGCATATTTAGTACACATTTATCAACATTTTTAGCAGAATTTCCTGGTGATTACTCCAACGTGCAACCAATACAAACACAAAATACGGCAAATTATTATAAAAAGAAAATCTTATGAGTTCATTTACATTGTAAGATTTAAATAAGTAAGATTTAAATTAAGCTAGAATGTTTCAGTTAGAAAAAAACAAACAAAACAGTATTCAATTCCCTCCCAAGAGGATGGATCTTTAGAAGGAATCTGATTGTTCAAATTGAATGAGGCTTTAATGATTAAACTTAACAATATTTTTTAGTGTATTATTTTAGCCAAGCTATGCACTGTACAACAGACAATTCTGATAGTCAGTCTTGGCACTCTAGTTTTCAAAAGCAAGAAATTTTTCAAGTAAAATGGTTAACTTTTCCTTTTTATGTCACTATTTGTTTAAGGTCATGGTAAATGAAACAGTTACTGACTTCATAAGTTTCTTTCATCCTGAATTAATGGCTGTTTATGCATGCAGTACAAACTGGTAAATTAGACAAAAGTCAAGCTAAAACATTCTTTCTGAAATAACGCTTTAATGATAAAAACTGTCATTTAGGAAAACTTTAAGAAAAGTTAGTCATAAAACGATCACAAAATGCACATCTTCTGTAACTGTCTGTGGCATATTATCTGAATCCCAGTAAAATTTAAATTCTGTCCCCTTTAACACATTGAAATAAAAATGGGAAAATAATCAAGCAAAGGAGTAACTATTCAACCATTCCACTACTTACTTCCCGGGTTACAAGCAGATAGGGGAAGGTTTTTTCCCCATAACTGGGATATTTATTATTGGTGCTTCCTTCATTTGACAATTTCTTTCGTATACTATTCATAAGATATTTCCATGGTATCCATGGTTAACACAATATACAGTACCATGCCTTTGGAAATGTTGCATTTAAACACAACTTAATCAAGGGTGCAAGCAGGTTGATATGAAAATGTGAACCTGAATTAATGTGAGAGGCATATTTATGAGGCACTTTGTATGGCAATATGGTATCTTTGTAAAGTTACAGATTTATGAGTCTATCTTCCATTTGGAGATCATTTCAACAATAAAAGCTCTATATTTCATATTTTTAAATTATTTCCATGAGTTTCAGTGTTTTCTTTACATAGTGTTCATGACTTGACTTCAGTGATTTACATTTCGAAGTAAAGATGACTCGTAAGTACAGAGGAAACAGAAACATTTCCATTGTAGAAATGCATCTAGAATTAGAACTTGCGGATTGATTAATAGTACAACTTTATACATTTCAAACTTATATTTACCTTTATCTCTCTGACAATTACATTAAATCTTGTCACTCGTTTTCCATTTTTTATATAGTGAAGTAATATATTTATGCACTATTTCGTACTATCCCTGTGCTTGATTTTGAAACTAACAATATCACGTGGGACAGGATTTTGCTTAAAACAAAAACTGCATGAATGTGCCCAAAAGACTGAATTTCCATCAACTGAAAAACTTTCAATGTACAATATTTTACATAATTGTTACATCTTCTACAGAATTTCCCTGGAGTTATCATAACAGAGAAAACACATTAAAGTCTGGTAAGGCGGCAGAAAAAATCCCTGCATATATAGCTTTTAAGAGAACTGTCTTGTTTGCAAGGTCGTCAGCTATCACCTGTCGGTTGACATGACTAATGACCCTTCAGATCGCCCACCCACCCCATCATCTGTCCCGTACCCAGGCAGCGTCATTTCGTTCAAGCTGACCTGTAACTGCTGTGAAGCTGTGGAGTCCGGTGACACATTACCGGACATCCCCCGTGCCTCAGACAGGCCCGAGAGTTCGGATCCGCTGCGAGAGGCGGCGCTGGAGTCGGGGCTGGGTGCCTCAAAGTAGCCGGCCGGGCCCGTCTTGGGGCGGGCTGTGCTACCATCGAGACCTTTGCCTAGCAGAGTCTCTGGAGCCGTTCCTGGTGGTCTGAGTGTTTAAAAACAGGAAGATACTCCATGCATTACTCCTCCAATCAGGATCCTCGCATTTTGCTCAGGAACTGCTTTTGGGGTTGAATGACGAATAAAAGCAGTTCCTGAACTTTTTGGGGGGCCACATAACTTGGCTTAAAGTTGGACATGAACTTGTAGGTTGTGACAAGAAAGCCTTTGTCAGAGTTTGACTGAATAGTTTTAACTTGGCTTGAGACTAGATGACTTGTGATGGACACGAGGGAACACTATTACAACCCAAGGGAGGGATGTGCAGCGCTGTAGAATGTACCTGAATGAGGATTTAAAAATGAAATTTGGATGGCGATGAAGGAAAACTGGGTTTGGGGCACAAAAACTTTATCATGCAACCCATGACTGGTGGAGACTTGTGACAGACAGGATAACACAATAAAAACACTCCCCTCAAAACAAAACCCAAAAAAAGAAACGGATTAAACCCTGGAGAATGGAAGTTTGACCATGTCTTGATCTTTACCTTGCAATTAACTGATCCAGTGGCTTAGGCTCAATACCAGCCGCTGCTGCCCTTGCTGCACTCTTGCGTCTCTCATATGATGCTTGCTCCTGAGGAAAAATGTCGCCAATATTCACAATTTTCTAATAAATGTCACAAGTCAGGTACACTGCGGGAGAAAGTTTTAACTTCATGGCCAGGATTTTGTGTTTTCAAAGTCAACATTACATGATTGCGACATTCTGGCTTTTTAAATGTCTATTTCTGATCCCCCTCCCCGGTCTTAGTATGGATTTTTCTCTGTGCACATTCAATTGAAAATCGCTTGCAACTGTCAGTGATTTTTGCCTGAAGTAGAATACATCTGAGTTTCCTTCAGTGGTCAATCTAGTCATAGTGTCACAAACACTAATGAACTTCCCTCTGGCAGACTATACTGTATGCAAAAAGTTGACATTCATGAAAAGTTAGGAGGATACAACAATTTGATTGCAGCAGACTTGCTGAAATGATTTAAGCAAAATTCTATTCTAGTGTAAATCACATGTCAATTTTTTTGAGGCTGGTTAAATGTAACAGGGATTGATAGTGAAAAAGTTATGGCTTTGCCATAGTTCATTTGAATATTGGGGTGGCACGTGTAATAAATAGGCCTCTCAAAACTGTGGCCTGGGTTCAATTCCCAGCCTAGTCCACATGTCAGAAAAGCTGTTCGTTAGTTCCCTTCTAGTGCCATAAGGGTTTTCTCTGGGTTCTATGGTTTACCTTTCTTGCCTTTCTATCCCTGGCCGTGCCTCGTGGTTTAATGTGAGTCATCTGGTGGCCGCCTGATGCAAATTTTATATGCCTTTGGCTCAATCACGTTGTCGCGCTTCTTTCATAATTCAGTCTTGTGGCAGCAAATGAGTAAAATGAAATATCCCCCATAATACAGTTATACGACTGAGACACGTTGACTTGACTGTACTTTTTGGCCTTGACTAGGACATGGCAACCTACCACACTGGATCTCGTTGGCTCCAGCATGGCCCGCATAGCCGGACTCATCAGCTTCCGAGACATCTGCGAGCTGGTGTCCCCGCTCTTGACGCGATCTGACCATGTCTTCATCCCCGAGGTGGACCTGAGCGGTGTCACGGATCGGTCTCCCATGGGAGTCTGGGAATCCGACCGTGCCTGCGTGGGACTGGGTGAATTGCTGGATGGCACCCAGTTGGACGTAGTCAGGTTCTGCGTCTCGCTGTCTTCTAATCCTAGGTAGCCAGACACCAACTCCCGACAGCGGTCAAATGCTATAGTAGTATCACCTGACAAACGAAACATTGTCAGAAAAAAGTTAAGTTACAAGTTTCCCCGAGAAAAAACTGTAGAAATCAAGCTCACTGTTCAAGAAATGAAACTCTTGTTGTTTTCAGTACTTCCGTTATCAGCAATTGTTGGGCAAAAAAAAATATTAATTCCTTGATAAAAATGTGATGGGGTAGTTTTTTTGAAGCTGCAGATGAATCAAACCCAGGAAGCTTTCTTTTCTGGATGTACTAAGGTATTTGTGTTCTGAATGCCAGATATAGCAAGAGAGAAAATGGGTTCTACTTCACGGTGAAAACAATTTGGTGTGCATCCTATTTTCAGCTCCACAGTTTCCTAAATATTTCATTGGTAACATGATTTTTTGATCTATTTCAACTTGAAATTTCCTGACATTCATGGGACTAAAACTTGAGGAAATTGAGTTAGCATGTTGGTGTTTTCATTATTCAAATAACTTAGTGCTGTTTTTGTATGTGGAATGTTTTCTTTGTGACTTTTCTTACTTGAATCAACAGTCATGTCAAAGAATCCTGGCTTATCCTGATGGATGTCACGATAGCGCCCCGTCTCCCTAAGTGCCTGCTCAATGTTCTCTTGACTAAGGTTACCGACTGCTCTGAGCCGCGCCTCGTGAGCCGCTTGGTCCAGCGGGAGAAGCAGAATGTAGCGAGGCTCGTAGTAAGTCAACTTGAGGGAAAGAACTCCCTGAGAAGGTCAGAAGAATCAAATTGATACCAAGGGAAGGTACAGGAGATTTTCATGAACTGGAACAGTAATGGAAGGGAACCTGGACCACATTGAAATAACTCCTGTTATTTCTGCTGAAGAAAAACTGTGTTTTTTTAAAGGTACTTTTGCCACTGAGGGCTCACTGATGGGTCAGGGTTCATTAAAATTCACGAATACATTAGAAATAGGGGGATCATGGACCTTTGAGTTCCACTATTAGTTCCTGAATTTCAACAGGTATCAATCTGTAGCTGCATGCATTAGCCTACATTTTCAATTGTACTTTAAGGCTGAGTTCGGGCGGGTTGTTCTCGTATGTTCAGTGGATGAGGTTACTGAAATTACAGCGCCAAGACACTGGAGCGGGGAAAATTAAGGGAAAATAACTCTGAGGAACTGAGTTGAAAATTCTCTAGCAAGAAAGCTGATCTCAAGATGGAGAGAAGCAGTGCCTCAGATAGATCGCTCCTACTGTTGGCTTGCAGACTACAGAGGGCAAGTTACAGGGTGAAATCCACTTGATTCTCTCTTTTCTGGTTCAAAATTCTTGCCCTTGTGTTTCTACCTCAACTTCCATGGTGAGTATGCAGGCTAAACCTTCCTTGGCAACCTCCTCAATGGCTTCTTGACTGACTCCGTAGCGATGCCCGTCAGACTGATACGTCAACAAGAAAACACCCTAAAATCATGCGGAAAAGAAACCAAGGCGTTGTTGAAATTAAAACAATCTGTATCACTTACAATATTTAGAAAAGAGCTAAAAGGCTGTGTGAACAGAAATAATGTGATCAAAGTTAAAGTTAACCTAATAATAGCAAAGAAAGATGGTTGACCCATATTATTGGTTATTTTCTTTACCTGTTTGATTTTGGAATCAAAAGTGCTAGAAGATACAAACTGGAAATCTTTCTTATCCAACTCCCCAGTGTACGGAGCTCTTGTTGTGTGTGAGATCCTGAAATACACAAGAAGCAAAGTAACAAGATGCGTAACAGTAAATACTGGAGAAAATAAGTTGTCGCTATAAATCGACCAATGTGACCAGTGCAGGCCAGCCGAAGATCTGGGGAAAAATGAATAAGTAATAAGAAACTGAGAATGAGAATACTACCGCGCTGTTTATTTTGAGGATATCTTATATTTGACAGCCTTGTTACTATAATTTACAGTGTTATATTTGAGTACACCACAAGTCCCTTCACAAGTCCAGTCACAAGTCCCTTCAAAAGATCAGTCATAAGTAACAGGGCGACAATGACAAAAGAATGCTTTTGTCACAGCTCATTTGGAAAAGCTTGTGAATTGGCTTAAGACTGAATGACTTGTGATGGACTTACAGGGACTAGCAGGGACTTGTGATGGACTTACAGGGACTAGCAGGGACTTGTGATGGACTTACAGGGACTTGTGATGGACTTACAGGGACTAGCAGGGACTTGTGATGGACTTACAGGGACTTGTGATG